GAGTCAGCTGAGGCACCGCGTCCGTCGCTGTGAGCTCTGCTGCGTCCTCCTCTACCCCGACTGTGGTGCAGATTACCAGCAAGTGTGTTGCCCAGAATTGAAAGGGCGACAGGCTGCTGATGCGAGAGTATTCCTCTCATGGAAGGGGTGTGGAGCGGAGGTCATGGATGGACAGCGTGTGCTTCGATTCTGCTGGTGGTGTATGTATTTTATCGCATTATCAATCATCCATTAGGAATGGTCCCCTTGCAATTTAAATCAGTCGGCCCTTATCTATTCGAAAGTCGTTCACGTAATCGGGACCCAGAGAACGTATTTCGAGTGCGCCAATCCTTGATCAGCGCCCATCGTAATGTATTGAGCAGACTTCTACACGAGCATTGGCTGATGGAGCACTCGACCACTATCTCCACCTACTACTCGAGTGCCGAGAAAGGTGGGCGTAGTGTACAGGGCTGACTCTATTCTAGGCGAGGGCGAAGATCGATTCAGACTTTCCAGCTGTGCCAAATCATCTGGGGTCAGATCCAGACTTTTGTCGGAAGGGAAATTGAGTATATCCTGCGTTCTACAACCTCGATGTGACGTTTGCCCAGGGAGTAGAAGCCCCGAGGTGTCCTCTGAATCTACGGCGGGGAAGCAATCCTCCCCCTGTGACCCAGCAGGAGTTGGATCACCGACCTGCGGAGGCATCTTTCCCGGGCGCCGCAGAGTTCACCGATCCTGGATGGATTCGCAGGGGATTCTGCGAGACACACAGCGGACACATGGCTTGGCCTCGTCGCATTTCAGCTTTGCTACAGCACATGCCCGATAGGCGCGGGAAGCTCGACCGCGATAATGGACCGAATTAGTTGCAGTGCTTCCGATCAGCTCCCCATCTTTCTGGTGGCAGGCATGATGACGCTGGAGAAGGTCTCTGGAAGGTTGGCCATGGGGTTTAGTGTCCCAATTTATCTATTGCTGTGACGCATGATAAACGTACCGCCTGAAGAAACCCCGCTGGCAGATATCGCACTCGTATGGTTGTTGTGGTAGATCTGCACGGTCTCAGTCAGCTTAGCGTGCAGGGCTGGTTTCGTCCAATCAGCCAAGTTGAGTGATAATCAGGGCAGACCTACGTGAACGAGCGTGGCGCGACAGATGATTGATGCGAGAATAAGTGCGAGGGCACTGGGGCAATGGAAAGCAGCCACCTCGCGGTTGAGATACCTCTTGAGTGCATTCCATCGATCCAGTAGTCTCCTTCCCAGCAAAAACCGCGGTGGATGCAACTTTGATTGCAGCTCCGGATGACTTATGTTGGTGACTATTCGGAGTTCCCTAGTCCGGATTATATAATATCTGTGTAATACACCATAGTATAACTGCAGCGTCAGAGCTCTACCCTTATGAGCAGTTACTGCAGATGGTAACTTGGTAAGCAACAATGGGAGGCCTGATTTCACTAAAGGATGAGCCCTGGGGAGGGGCGCTTTTAGTTGCAGATCCCAACACGTAAGCACCAGCCTCATTGGAGCTTGTAGATGCTTGTCAATGGTACAAGAATTATGTACACTTATAGAGTAGGGATCGCCTAGCGCAGAGACCATGCAGGCGCCTGACTTTAGTGCATTGAGGCTGTGGTGACTGCTGAGTGGTACCTGGACCAGGATCACAGTTACCAACTTGACATGCTAATGAATGTTAATTTTTAATCATGAGAGATTTGGAAAGGGGAAGGTTGTATACTAATTGCTTGGGCCATCTGCCTAAATAATAGGACCAACAAGCATGGGAAGTCCTCTCCATCATGCATTTGAATATATTAAATGTCTCAGAAGGTTACACTACATAAAGAATATGAGCTTAGTATGCCAAGTGGACCCTCTAAGCACCTGTATGATGGCCTGATGGGACAACAAATGCCTCACCTCTCCCAGCATATCTAATAGGCGCTTGGGAAGGGCGTCAGGCGTCCAACTAGGCGTGCTACAATTTATTGATTGTCCTTGATGATTTCATTACTTCGTCAATATGGGAACATACGGTTTGATCCCGATTGAAGTTGAAGAGCCTTGGGGTATAAGAATGAGGACAAATCCGCCTCTATCCTGAGTCTTCATCTCATTCTTCATTCATCAATATCTCACTCTGATTCTGATTCTACAAGACCCGTTTCTCTTTAAACTCATATATCATCGTCATCATGGTCAAGACCGCCCTTCTCCCCCTCACTCTTCTTGCTGCACTGGCTCCCTTTGCCGCCGCAGACAACTGCAAGACTGGGCTGAACTACTGTGGTTATAATCTCTTGAACATTGGTATGTGAACTTGCCTCCCCCGTCCAGACTCAACGTCCCTAATGAGGCTCTCTCAATAGGCAACTACGGGGCCCAGGTCAATGGCGCCCTCGAGGCTGCCGGCCAGCCCACCGACGACGGCCATATCCGTGAATCCCTCTTCCACTGCAATGGTGGCGAGAATGGTGATATCTCCTTCATCACCTACTGCGGTGGTGGCTGCACAGATGGCGGCTCTGGCCGCAGCGACTACTGCTAGAGAGTTTGCTGTGCATTGGTACCTTGACTCCTGACTGAAGGTGTGATATGGATGCGGACATTGTACTTTGATCGATCCTCTTGGCCGTATTCAACATATGGTATAGTGGAAGTCTTAGTTTTTAAGGAGTGAAAGCAATTTCTTGGAGATTGGGTTTGGTTGCTTCATGTCATAGATAAAACATACCATGATAGGAATGTGATATTTATATCAGGATCAAATCCGATGCATATGTATGTGAGAAGCGCGAGCTTCTACAATAGGGGTCAAGTAGCCAAAGAAATACTCCAGAACCTGGGTTAGTATAACCCTCCACTCTGGGAAACTAAATACCATAATGGAGGTAGTACTGTTATACAAACTCAGTATGAATTACTATACAGACCAAAGAGAGTAGAATCTTTCCACAGGAGTTGAACCTTTACAGAATTGAGATTACCTTCTGCCTCCTGTTAGCTCAAATCTCCGTGACAAAAAGGCTGCTTAGCCATAGAAGTGCTCTTGCAAAGGTCCCATATAGAAGAACAACCATGCTCTAAGGTACTAGCTATGCGCAATGTCACAGATAGTCATATTAGTGCAGCTGAACTAATGCACAAAGGTTATATTCTAGGTACTTTAGTACTGCTGCCAAGGTCATGAATCATAATATGTACATGCACCATACACAATGCACCTTCATATAAGATGGCAAGTAACAGCAGGGTGACTGGAAGGCCATTTTTCCTGGTCTATGAAGCTAACCACCATAGTTATAAGTTTCCAGATACCTGAGCATCTTCAAGGGATCTCATTTCATCCTTTTATCAAGATATCTGTGAAGGTGATTGTACGTTAGACACTAGTATAAGATAGATTCTTAGGCATACCTGCGGCTTGTGCAGACATGGGAAGGATAGGGAGTCTGCCCTTGCTAAGAACTAACTAGTAAACCCTTACATACTTTTTATGGACCTAGTATTTCTCTTTAGAGGTAAAAGCAAATAACCATTCTTTCTGCAGTGTCTTAGTCATATGGTGGTTATTCTCAGTGATCAGGCTGCCAGGCCTCCTAAGCCAGAAATGATTAGTGGCCTTTTCCTGCGTACCTTTGGGGTGTGCCCTCTACCAGGTTGATCATCTCTAGGTCCTTGGCGAGAGCGCCCCCGCTGACTTGGCTGCAGGGGACCCCACAGTCAAAAACAGTCCTTTCCGTTTCCTCGACTTGCCCTTGAAGTTACGCAGAATGATAATCCAATCTACAATCAATATCCATCGCCCTCGGCCTAGATCGCGCAGTAGGCGCCGTGTTGGGCGGTCGGGATTTGAGACGGACCAGTACGACTTCACTATCCGGGGCGCGGGTCTCAGATGCCAGTTCCTCACCCCACTCAGCCTTGGTTTGGTGAATAGGCAGGTTTGCCAGGAAGTGCTGTCTATCATCTTCCAAAATGCTACCGCATGCGTCCATGTCCAGATTCCAACATATCCAGCGACATTGCTGCATCGGTGCCCCAAATCATCCACACCCTCAAAACCTATCCTCAACTGCTTGGACTGTCACTGGCGCAAGAGATCATAATAATCATTGATGCGGAAAGACCCTACTTTCATACCCTGGTACAAAAGCTGGACAGGGGCTTGTGGGCTTTGGTACGGAACAACACGCTGCGTCTTTTAACGTTAATTTCTCTTGCAGTTCCCACTGCCAGTTTCCTTTATGCAGCTGGATGGACTCACCGGACTGGCCCTTTCCATACAAACAGGGACGCTGCCATCCACGCTCTTATTGACGCCATTATGCGAGGCGTTGAGAGCCATAAGCACCTGAAAATAATCCTACGTCTGGACAACTTGTACTTGCGAGATCTCAAGATCGTGCTCAGATTATTTCAGATGCCAGCTAGCACTATTACTTTAGAGGAGTGGTGGCTCCACTGGTCTATATCTGACGACCTTGAGAAAGCTATAGGTAGCTATGAGAGTACTTATAAGCACTTCGTCCAAAGAGCCGCTGAAGAAGCTGGACAAACTCGGCTCTTGACTGTCTGTCCATTCTCAGATGCGTTTGAAATTGATGAGACCGACGACGGGGATATCCGAGGCACCAAGTATATTCGAAAGAGGAGAAGGGTCTGGGTGCAGTAGACTTCAGAGTCATGATGATTCACTGTATCCTGTTGGTGAGAGGGGTAACATACTTTCATCCAAGACTTGATAACTTCTACTTTCTCAACCTAGAAATTACTGCTAACTGCACAAACCTTATACTTAGTAGGCTAATTCATAGTTGTCAATTTAAGGTGAGGCTTGTTCAACCATATAAGGCCTCACACCGAGCCACATGCGGGGTTCTTCATTCGAGGTAGTCAGCAGCTGTTGGCCACGTGAGGTAGGCAGAGGCTGAAGCATTGAAAAATTCATTCATATCTGCTTTCTGTGTGAGAAAGCGCTTCAATATCAATAGATACAACAGATATTCAAGGCAAACGCTCAATCTCAGGGGGTTCAGCATACATGATATGCCACAACGGAGTCAAGAGAAACGAATAGAGTCTGGGATACACCTTCACCACCAAGACTTTCTTCCACCCAACAGTCTTATCAAGTCCATCATCTCCCTCATCTTCTGCCTCACCATGACCATCCCCATGGAGCCGCCTTCTCTCCTCTCGACGAAGCCTCTTTTCTTCCATCTGATCAAACCAGTTCATATTCAGCACAATCACATGCGCAGTGGAGGCGCGGAAATCAGCAGCCCTCCATTCACTCGGCGCCGTCCCCTCCAGAACCGAATCCAGCGCTTCCCGATCCACCATAATCGGGTATCCATGTTGGACATCTCCCGGGTGGTACTCCCCATACAGAGAGCTCATGAGGTCCCGATGGCGTCTGGCCCCCATGGCGTTTGAGTCAGCACAGTTTCAGGAAGCAGCAACGGGTAGCAAGCTGCATACCGCCAAATTTCCTCCTTGGAGCAATTGTCTAGCGCAGGGTTCTGTTGCACATTCCATTCGAGCTGGTTTAGGATGGCTTCCCCGTCACGGCCGCGTTCGCGCGCGCTGAGGAGAGTTTTCCGCGCGAACCCTTTCATGCGCTCGAGGAATTGCTCCCACCGGGCTTCGTCATCGTAGCAGCAGGTACGGTAAGATGAAGAATCCCCATTTCTGCGCCCCGCTTTTGGTTAATTCTTCGCGGATGCAGGTGGCGTCGGACCTGTAATAAGACATTTCAGGAGAGGGAGAGAGAGGGAGAAGAGGATGGTTGCTATGAAGCGATTGATCGTGTCCGGTGTCCCTTTTCGTTGTGGAAAAGGGAGACCTCCCGCAGTCACATGATTTGGATGGTCTACCTCTCGGTAAGCAGCCTTAGGGCTTGATCGCCTGCACAGTATTCATCAATATATTCATGCACCGAGGTGCTGTAGAGGACAAGTGAATGTAATACTAGGGAAGGTTGAGATCGACTGAGCCTAACAAGGCGGAGACTTTACGCTTCATCGCGGCCCTGTGACCCTGGTCACCCTGGATTACATGGGCTGATGCAAACTTGGAATATCCTCGTGTATATATTTATAGTTCTAAATGAGGAACACCATCTTCGCGTATAGAAGGGTAGAGCTCGCAGATGTCTACCTTGCAGTCAGGGTTTTCGTCGACCTCACAGACAAGGACCATGGCAGTGGGACATCCAAGGAAGTTAGTCTCGGAATCCCAGAAAAGAGAGCTGGTATCGTTTCCTATCGTATGCGGCGACTGACCACCCTTATTATCCTCATCATCGCCACCCGCAGCCCCGGATGCGATTACCCTGAGAAACTGTAAGCCAGGGTTCCAAACGAGGACAGACGGCGGAACACTCACTTGGCCTCATTGGAGGAACCGATGACACGGTCCATTTCACTATCTTCGGACCATGCAGTAAAGGAGTCAAGGCTGTTTTTATAGGTGACGGTGGTGGTGGCAGGACCCGTGCCCAGAGTCACATTATACAACATGTCGGAACCTACCTGGATGGCATTTAGCTGCAGCTGCTCCTAGCGATGGATCCTCGACTTGCATCTCAGTTTCAGAGACAGACATCGTGGAGGGCACTACCTCCACCTGCAGCTGCTATACTACAGTCAACAGATGGGAGGCCGACGGTGAGTGACAGCCCAAGCCTCAGGATAATCATATCCCCTTATCCCCCTTTCATGTTATGCCTACTGTGTTGGTGTGTGAGATGTACAGTGTAGTTAGCTGGGTTCCTGGGGCGCTGTTGTTGGCTGATAGAATTAACAGTCTTGTTAGTCTTCTGATTCTTGCCAAGGACTTTATACACAATACCTTTAAGCGAAGCATCAAATGAGGCATACACATGCGTCGTAACGCCTCGCTCTACTGGCTTAGGCGTGAATCCCTTCTCCCAGCCTTCCACATTCCCTAGCAGTCTATCAGTAATCACTATATCAGTTAGTAAGTCGACAGCGATCTTCCGGCTCTTCCTACTTCCGCTGACTCACCATTTCCCCTTCTCCGAGAGCTGCGGACACTGTAAATGGAGAGACAGAGACCCTTCTTGCATCTCTGTTGATCGAACTCTTGGAGATGCCATTGGGTCTATCTCCAAATGACTCTTCCATGGCTATACATCGATTCGTGTACAATTGCCTGACAGATAGTGTATCGTCCTTCATACTTTTCCACCTACTCAAGTGAGGAGAATAGATTATATGTCAAATTTCTGGAGCATCTAGCGGAAATCAAATGGTCTACTTTAGCAGATTTGCAAAGTATGCCTCGAGAGCCTCATCTTCCAATTCACCAACCCATCCCACATGCATATCGGGTCTGACGATGATTACAGCCCCTCTGGTGCGGTCGATGCCCCACCTTGCATACGCCTGGCCATCACAGTAGCGGTCGTAATGAACAGGGGCATCAGCGAAGATGCGCGAGAAGTCCCAGCCGTGATAACCTGGGTCGAAAGGCCCACGTAAGGCGACGGGGAAGTCGAACAAAGAGATGGACTCCAAGGCATCCGCAGCACTGTGAACAGCAAGAAGGGTCACAAGGGACCCACGAGCCCGTTCGTGCAGGTATGAAATCGAAGGGTGTTGCAGATTCGGAGGGGCATCCTGAGTATCCAAGGTCTTGGTGAAAGGATACCGGTAGACCAGTATGTTATCTTCTGAACTAGGGAAGTGAGAACGCATGGTGCCATATCTTGATCCCAGAGCTTTATGTGATTAGTGTACACTGACCTCAGATTAAGTCTATTCAATATTATGTGTGTGATTATATATCCACTGGAAACACAAGCAGGTTTATATAGAATGTATGTATGGTAAAGCTTAACAGAGAGCTTCTTTCATATATTTACTCCCGCTAGGTTACATAGCTGTGCACTTCTAGACATCTTATTTGATGGTCCAATGTATATCCCTGAGGGTTCTTGACTTGCGGATGGAGTCAGGATTAGTGTTTAAATTGAGCTATTGGGTATCTTTTTGGACAAATGGTATCTATTGATCATCACGGCTCGCTGTTTTAGGATAACAGATGATTCTAGTTTTGAACTGATTTGTGAATGGCAGTTGACATTCAGGATAGGTAGTATCAACTAGAATTAATCTTAGTTTATCACATGCTATTCATAAATAACCGTGCAGAACAAAGTATCCCTAGCAGATATGTACGACAAGTATCAATGATCCTGACACAGCTTTAAATCTCCCCACCAATCGCCCAGTACAGGAACACCCCATAAACCAGCAGGATCTTCTGCACCGCCCCTAGGCCAATCTCCTCCACCACGCTGACCGGTACCATCCAGTTCTTGTCCGGCTGTTGACGCGCAGCCGGGTACAAGTACCAGGGCGACGTCACACACATCCAGATACCCACCCAAAGAAACCCCACGAGCCTCTGCCAGAGGGGCACTCGATTACCGCCCTGACTCTGCCCCGTCGCTTGGCGCCAAACTTCCTGAACCCCGTCCTCGATCATGATAGCCAGCGGAAATGAGCAGAAGAACTTCATGGCCCCGGACGCCGATGGCGGGACGCCCAAGATAGCATCACAGGCCAGGTGTAACACACCGGATGTCAAAAAGGTGAAGAAGATGTTGGTGTAGCGCTCTAAAAGCGAGGGACGGGGAAGACGGAGGACATCCCTTGCGATATAGTTACTCACCGAGGTAAGAGGCCAACGGAAGGATTGGTGCCAGAATTTGCTGTGGCAGGTTAGTGGATGAACATGAACATGAGCGACTCCCTTGCCTTTTGCAAGAGTGTCGAAAAGTCCACTTACCCCCAGAAGCCACGGATGGTGCATGCATCCCGCACTCTGCCGAAGCCCGGGCGACAAGACTCCGGCGAAGAAATGCCCAAGACCACCAAGATCAGGAAGTAGATGCGGGAAATGATGTTGAGACAGACGCGGGAAGGCACAAGCCACGAGAAGATCCCCACGGAGACGCGCCCCATCCACTGTTCGAACGTTGCGTCGAAATACTTGAATTCCAAGCCGGGGCCGAAGAGGCGCGCCAAGTCCTCCGGGGAAGTGTCCTTTGTCGACATGTAGATGAAATCAAGCAGCAGGTACTGCCATATGATAATGGCACTTTCCCGTAGGACGTACCGCTTCCAGCTCAGCCGTTGCTCCTTGCCGTTTGGCTGGAGATAAGCTGCGTGTTCGGGTATATTCTTGACCTCCCAGACCGTGCCGATTCCTCGGAAGTTGAGCAACAATGCCCAGGCATGAAGAAGGCGAGCAAGCAGACCTGCAGACGGACTGTACAATCCTGCCCGTACCAGCTCGGTCTCATCTAGATTTGTGATCAGGAGTAGATTGAGGCATTGCAGAGCAGCCACGGTTGCTTGGCCCGCCGCCACGCCTTTCAGGAATTGACTCGTGGTCAGAGAGGGTACGCAAAGGGAGAATCGATACAGAATGTAAAGAACACATGGCGCCCAGGCCCGTCGAACAGAGGATGACTTTTGAGTCGTTATGATGAAAAAGGCAGTTGGCACAGTAAAAGCTAGATAAAGTGCTAGCGCATGGGCAATGTTAGACCACAATGGGTTTGATGAAAGCGCTAGGAGATCCATCGTTGCTATTCCCTCAGTAAGACTTGCTTTTAGGAAGAGAGTGAGCTATATATGCTCAAATCAAGTAACATCACAGGCTTGTGTTGTTGCTGTATCTGTATGATGCAAGGGATGTGGATGCATACAAGTCATTGGTTTGGGTGCTTCCGTCACCTATTTACCTCTTGCACCTGATTGATAGATACAAGCAGTACAGAAACTCAGCTGCGACTGTAATGAGACGGATACAGTACAAGATCATCAGGCTAAGTTCGCAGTATTCCCCAGTTGGCATAATTCCAACCAATCTCGGCTCCAGCTTACAAGCCAAAGAATGCAGATGCCGCTCGATTTAGTAGGGCATGTGGATCTCAAGAGGGTAGACTCAAGGGTAGACTCAAGAATTCGACGTGGCTTTTCTGCTAATAGGCCTGGACAGTGATACTCAGCGCCCAAGAATCCACCTTGTGTCAGATCTTGTCCTCCATGGCCGCCATGCGTGAAGACATGGCAGGAGGTTTGCTGGTGGAGCTGTGTGACCCATTTTCTAGTCTGTGAGCTGAGAAAGTCGGCGAAAATTGATTCAGCTTGCTGTCAGGGATCTAGAACTAGTAAGATGTGGATCAAGCTTGTCATTAGGCAGTAAAGTGATCAACTATAGATGAGCACTTGGAGAATAAATACTGCTAGCTGATCATTTAGCACAGTGGATACATCTGAATGTGGCAACAATAATAAGATTTCAAGATTAATCAAGTAAACAGACACTATCAACACCAGTACCGATTTCATAAAGTGTATGTTAGTAGAGAGATCTGGGCCACTGAAATCTAACTGCACTTGATGACCACCAGCCCTGATTCTTGCGATTGATCATCATGTAATATGCAACTGAAAAGTCGGTCAGGATAACTAATAGTCTGTATACACTATGTGAAGCTTCCTGCAGGTTGCATCAAGAACACATACGCTGATCTGAGATCTGCGTGGGATCGACACAGTCCAATGTAGTGAAAACTATAATCAATGCAGCAAAATGCAGAGACTGAATTAAACTTGTCCGTTAGTCATGTAATACAAGAAGGTAAAGCAAGCGAAACGAGGTGGTCAGAATTAAAACCAGGAGTGATCGGAGTAAAGACACAACCAACTCACTCAGTAGGATAGTTCTATTCATACAACACTTGAGAAATCATGAGTGCTCCGAGAATACACTCTCCCGTCAATCAGGATGAACAGGTAAAAGATGGACTTGCTAGTCTTCAAGGTCCATGCGAAGATGGCATGTGCGGTGTCCCAAAGTCCCCCAGCAACCACTCTCCGTATCCTCTGTCTTCACTCGACCACAATCCCCTCGGAATGAATGTCACCTTTTTGTTGTCATTTCAAACCACGCAGCCTGAGGAAAGCATTCGTGTCCTGGACGACGGCATCAAACAGCTGTTGAAGGTTCACCCCTTCCTCTCAGGGGACGTGACTCGCCAGACGAAAGTCAGCCAGAGGAAGAATACCTGGCAGATCGAACCAGACGCTCCAGAGTCGCTTCTCAAGCTCCCTATGCTCCAGACACAATATTTACAGGCCGAGTCGATCAAAGAACTCCATTCGAAACGCCTCCTAACGGGCGCTGAGGAGCAGGAGATCATGCGACGGCTCGCCCCGTTGCCTATCGACATGGATCTTTCGCTGCCGCGAAGGCCGATTGTACGGTTTCAAGCGAATATCATGCGCGATGGAGTCATTCTCGCCATGACATTCCACCATGCTGCAATGGATGGCGCGGGCGCTGCACGGGTTCTGGGCCTGCTAGCCGATTGCTGCAGAGATCGGACCGCCTCGTCTTCTGCGAGTGTGGTGTCAGACCGGCAGTTACGATCGCAGATTGACAGTCTTGCCTCAAAAAGCAGTTCCGGTGCCTCGAGGGCGGATTTCAGCCAGCACTATTGCGGCCTCGGAGATTGGGCAGCGCTCCTCGCAGAAAATTGGTCGGGTTTCCTCCGGGCAAGAGCTACCGAGCTTGTAACCTGGCGATTGACGATTCCCGGGTCCAAGATCCAGTACTTAAAGGGAGCTTGCAATGCGCTGCTACAGGGGCAAACGTCTGCGCAGGCTGGTAGGCCGAATCCGGGGTTCCTATCCAACAACGACATTGTGAGCGCCCTGATGGCCATGATACTTCGGCAAGCGGGACGATTGGCTGGTCAATCTACTGAACTGTCGCTTGCAGTTGATATGCGCGGCAATTTCCAAGCACCAGCCTTCAATGACTACCTGGGAAACATGGTGCTGCTGACATACACGCCGATCCCAGCTGGGAAGAACCAGCCCCCAGTCGATGGACCAGTTCCGGCAGAATTGCGCCAGGAATGCCTCAAAGAGCTCACCCAGATTGCAGCGCGTATACGCCACGGTCTTCTCTCGGTCAACGCAGAGTACATCCAAGGCGTTCTATCCCATCTCCACTCGCAGACCGACTGGGCGGAGATTGGATTCCGGGGAGTCCCCATTCCCTTGAGCAGCTTTAGGAATTTTGGAATCTTCGGACTGGACTTTGGGGAAAGCCTGGGATCGCAGCCTCGAGGATTCCAACTGCATTTGCCTGTCTTGGGGGGGATGTGTTTTATCCTTCCAAAGCGTCAAGATAGCACGGAGCCGTGGGACTTGCACCTGACTCTCAACCGTGACGATGTATCCATGGTATCAGATGATCCTTTGTTTCGCTGGGCTACTGAAGAGCATCTATGAGAGTATAAACCATGTCATGCCTAACAAAGACTACTGAATATAGGAATTGCCAGAAATAAGATGTTTCTGTTATGGCTTGAGAGTATCGGTCGAGGAAACTCTGCCCACATTTTTCCAACTAAGACTAAAGCAGACGAGCACAATGAAGATACGCATAATATCCACTGATCTGTACCCACAGGGCTAAAAACACATTCATCCATGATAAAAACTCCCGAGCCGTATATCAGACATCAAAAAACCATTCCAGAGATCCCGACACAAGCAAGAGCTCCACGAAACAAGCCAGCACGTTCCAAATCCCCAGCGCGAAATTCCGCCGATGAACCTTGCCACCACTACTCGGATCCTTCGTATCAAAGAGATACAGCTGCTCGCCGAGGGAAGCCGTCCACACCCCCAGCCACGAGAACCAGAGCCAAGCGGAGCCGTTCGCATGCAGAATCCACGGGATCACCAGGATCACGGCAATGGCCTGCAGGAGGAGCAATCCGTGCACGTAATTGCCCGCGAGGACGTACGACGAATTGACGTTGAGCTTACAGTCGTCCTTGATGTCCTGGTAGCTGTAGGCGGTGTTGAAGTAGATGGTCCACAGGAACAGGAAGACGCAGAGCGGGAGACACTGCGCGCCCAGGTCCTTTGAGGAGATGCTGCCTTCGTAGACGGAGGCCCAGGCTGGAAGGATGGTGAGAGCGCTGCTTGCGCCGAGGATGTACTGGGGGTAGATGCCCAGTTTGCGCGTGGTGGGTCGCTTGCCGAAGGGATATAAGATGATGCCGGTTGTGAGGGGGAGCATGAATGTCCATCTACTCCGTAGACAGGGTGAGATTCCATGGTTTCAATTGGCAGTATGACTGTCCTGGATTGACTTACACGTTCTGCCTGCTCAGCATGCGGTCCATCAGCCAGACCGAGGCCGCATACTGGACCAGCATCCAGATGAGGGCAGCTCTCGTGGAAAGCCGACCGGATGCGAGGGGCCGGTTCTTGGTCCGGGCGACCTGGGCGTCGATGTCGCGGTCGATCCAGTCGTTCCATACCATTCCGGCGCCGCTCAACAGATAGGTATACATAAAGGCCAGTGCTGCGCGGCCAAGCACCCAGTCGAAAGGAATGGGGTCGCTATCGGCGTGTCGTGAGGCTGCCGCAAGGAAGATTGACCAGACTGGAGATGTTATTTTTAATTCGGTAGTATGATTTTGAGGGGTTCGATTACCTCCAGGGAATATAGCAAATAAACAGTTGTATTTGTCAAATCGGGAGACATCAACGAGCGTACGGACCAGCTGTGCTGGAGACTGAGAGGTGGCCATCATGACAAGAATGATCAAGAATTAGTCTGGTCTTCAGATCACGACCCTTTGGAGGCGATGAGACATAGATGTATGGGCTGAGATGTGCTCAATACAGGCACACAGTAGAGCAGTCGCATCCCATACTAGACCAAGGTGTCATTCCTCGGTAATCACTGTATGAGATATCAACTCAGCTCGATCGCCTTATGCAGCAGCCCCACTACGACTGCTACTATTATATGTATGAAAACAATAGACAAGTGTAGTTTGCAGATCGCGTGGATCATTTTCATAGATTGTCTTGCTGTGGATCCCTTGCAGGAGATGTGATCTATCGACTCTGGATGACGCCAAGTCCATCAAATGGGCGCAAGGCTTCCATTATCCATATGAAGGCAACGCCACTACACAAGCAATGTGGAATACACCATCTGGGCCACAATAGCCACTAGGCACAGACCTACCACCGTCACAGGAAACGTAGGCCTCTTGCGTGGCTGGCTGAACTGGATCCAGCCCGGACCAGACCGCGCGGGTGGCTCCACAAATTCCAAGGTAATACCACCCGCGATTCCTCGGGAGGCCCAGTCGGCCGGCTTATCTCCAGCGTAGGGCAAGAGATAGCGTCCCAAGATCCGATTCTTGAGCCCTTCCCGCGAGTGGAGACGCATGGCCGATCGTGCAGCCACGGCCACCGGGCCTAGCCGACGGAGGCGATCCTCGACGAAGCCAGCCAGAACCTCTGACAGATCAGCAGCTGCGGGTCGATAGTCGGGTCCACAGCCGTACAGCCAAGTGCGCAACCTGTTGCTGAGCTGAGCTGCATCCTCGATGGCGCAATTGGCACCCTGTCCGATATGGGGTGCGAACTGCATGGGTAGCCTCATGAGTCAATTTGTCCCGCAAATCAGGGTGAAGTTGGCTGCTGACCTTGTGCATGCTGTCTCCAATGCAGATGATGTTCCTCCAGTGCCATTTGCTGAATAGACCTTCCTCCAAAGGTGTCATCTGGAAGACCTCGCATTGCGCCCAGACCTGGCCGAATTTGACCCCGTTCCAGACCGGCTCATGCGCCAATCTCTCACAGTGGGCTCGGGCGTCTGCGGGGCTGAAACGAGGCAAGTTTTTGCGTGATCCATCATAGACGTATTCCTTGTCCAGCTTGATAAAGAGGAACCAAAAGATCCTGCCATTCTGGCCGATCACGCTGAGGATACTCCATCCGTCATTGTAACAGGTGATTTGCTCCCCCGGTTCCAGTTGATCGACCGGGGACGAGATTCCAAAGATACAGGCGTAGTTGATCGTCAACTCTATGAACATGGATGCGTCAGTCATTCAGGACCAAAAAATAGGCAAAAAAAGAAAAGACAAAGCCACAGCGGGGTAGATACTCTTGTCTTCACTCCGAAAGATCTTCTCCTGCGAGGCATTGGCCAATCGCCACATCTCCGCTCGTACCCGACTGTGCACTCCATCCGCTCCGACGACAAGATCGCCCTGGTAGACGTGTCCGTTGCTTGTTTGCACACTGACGCCATCTTGAGTACTCTCGATGTTCATGACCTGGTGACCCAGTTTCACTCGGCTGGATTGGACCGGCCCAGCCGCTAGGATCTGCAGCAACTTCTGTCGATCCAAGAATGCAAGCGGGTAGCCAAACCTAAGACCTCTCACATTAGCCTGGATCAGTAAGTGCACATTGCATATCGACTGACCGCTGCTGCAGCAATGCAGGATACTGACTGGTAAAGTGAAAACCGTCGGGGTAGGTTACATGCGCCCTCGCCAAAGGCTCGATCAGCTCCTCAATCCGGTGGTATAGCCCCAGCTGTTCCATGATTCGACCGCCATTGGGCATGATACCGATTGATGCGCCTTCCTGAGGGGCGATTTCCTCCTTCTTCTCCAGCAGGACATAGTCAATCTTGGCCTTTTCCAAGCAGTGGGCGAGGGTGAGGCCGGCGATGGATCCTCCAACAATGATGACTCTCATGATGCCCTAATGGTTTAATGGAGAGAATGGGAAGCAGCTAAACGCACAAACCTTGATACCCATGCAGTTTATGTAGAAAAATAAAGTTACAACTAGTACTTTACAAGAGACTGACATCCTGGCTACACGTGCAATCCTCCCTTGCTCTCTACTATCCTTCCTCATACTCCCAGAAGATTCACTCGTCTACTAAACCTATGATGGCATATCGTGTCTAGGCTCGTAACAAAACATTCTCGATCGACCGATCGGACAGTTCCATACGCCATATCACCCCTTGCATGTGGTTCAGCTTTTCAATATTAATCCTCCGTCGATGTCGATTTCTGTGCTCACCGCCATTTAGCCCGAATTCCGTAGAATGTACGGAGTACATAGCGTATGCGTGGTTCTTCTGTTGATCATAGAGCTTTCCGCGATTGGCTTCGGTGCTCCTGCCGACGAATGCGCCAAAGAAGAACCACATAGGCAATATCCAGGGAGAAACACATGATACCATGCCAGGCGACGAAAGGGTGACTGATCCAGCCGAACTCCTGCGGCCAATGCGTTTCCCGCACATGGAGAAAGATACCACCGATGTACGAACCCAGGAATCTCGAAAGCCTTTGAAAATCCAATTAATCACATGGCACGCCTGACGTAAGATCCAGAGGGCAAAGAGAACATACCAGATCGTGTACGAAGCCCCCCGGCTGGAACCTCGGCTCATGAGCTGGCAGACTGCACCCGCGGTCAACAGCTCAAAGCACAGAAAGGCGCCCCAGTTGGCCGCCTTGCCCACTCCCACCGTCGCTGCCAGTGCCAGGTGGCCCGCTGTAAAGGCCGCAATCGCCACGGGGAAGATCCATGGAAGGCACTGCCGGACGAGCGGGGCGTGCTGCCATTCGTTGGGGGCGAACTTGATAGCCGTATACATGAGGAAGAGGTTCAGGATCATCCATGTTGTGAGCACGGCCCTCTCGGCGGGATTTTGAGAAGGGTAGACGACGCTGTAGACGAACTCCCAGGCGAAGTTGCAGCACAGTGGCAGGATGGCCATGCCGTAGGTGCGGTCCTTGTAAGATTGGTATATCATGGCCAGGTAGTTGATAGACCATCCCAATCCTTGGGCCAACAGGGCCCGATCCGCTATCCAGGCAACATCTCTGTACTCGGGAGGCGCCGATGAGATGTCCGACCACCCGTCCATGGTAGCAGCTGTTCTTTCTTTGAAAGAAGTGCGGTATAGGAAGTGAAGCAAGTTGTGGACGGAAAGTGTCAGCGAGGATGGTGGTAAGACGGTGGGATTTGCTGTCAAGAAAATGCTGTCCAGAAGGATGTTCGGAAGGTTATACAGTGTTCGATGGCCCTGGTTTCTGTGCGTCTACTAGTTAAACTACGACACATACGGCAATATGTAGGTCAACCCCCCACCCCTTCCTTTTTCCTGGAAGACTGTAACATGGCATATAATCCGCTGTGGGCTCTAGAGTCATGTTGCGTTTCACAAGGATAAGCAGTATGAACAATGCTTAGTGGCTCCAGCAATAGAGCGTGTAATTAACTTCAAAGACCGAGCAGTGTATTATTTATAACCGCTTAGGCTTTGAACACATTGCATCTACCTTTTATCCTAAGGTTCTATTCTCTATCGTCAATGAGGGTTGATACTCATAACTCTTTTCTTTTGACAATGGTTTCCTGACATAAAGATTCTGTGATTTCCCCTGGATTACCTCTTTCGAGTCAATACTTCAAGTTCTTCTAGAACCGGCGCACGTCTGCGAACTTCTATCCTTGCTCTTGGGTCACGGTACGACGCGAACCCACTCGTGAGCACATCATGCGGGCTGTCCTTCACTAGCCTCCATTCATACTTCAGCAACATATGGCACAGCGCTATCTTGATCTCGGTAGCAGCAAAGAATCGACCAGGACAGGCATACTTCCCGTACCCAAAACCCAGGTGATTTTGGCCCGTCGTTGTGAACGGTGCTCGGTTCTTGTCGGCTCCTTCACGCATTCTCAAGTACCGGTACCCATCAAAGACCTCGGGATGAGGATAGATGGAAGCATCCCCCGCGACGTCGTTGGTCACCATGACAGGCGTTCCCGTGGGAATCTCCGTGCCATTGGCCAGCTTGATGTTCTGCCGGGTAAAGCGCGAAAACGTACCTAAGAGCAATGGTAAGCATGTGCGCAGATTAGACGGCAAGGACCTGTACCAGTGGTGATTGGATGCAGTCGCTGGCTCTCTTTCAGAACACTATCAAGGAGCTTGAGTTGATTCAGTGTCGAGGCTCGCCATCCATTCTCCCCGAGGACCGAAATCACCTCCTCCCGTAGGTCCTGAATCAAGCCCGGCTGCTCGCATAGGTTGATGAGCACCTTGGTCAAGAGATCGGCGCTGGAATGGATGGACGCATTCGCCAGTCGTAGCTGCACCATGGCTGCATCATACTTATTGCCACTGGCGAAAGCGTCGACCCAGGCGAGGCTGGAGAATGTGTCAGGGCGCGGGTTCTTTCTCGATTCTTCCAGAGCTGAACTGATCAGTCCCCGTGCTGTCTTGATCTCCTGACGGAGTTTCTGGCATGGAGGGAGAAGCCAGTGCAGGACAGGTCGAAGCACAGCAGGGCACATGTGGAGAGCTAGAATTGCGTGGTGTCGAACGATGGTGAAATTAACGACTGTCTCCAGCCAGGCTGGATTACGGCACAACGGTTCGCCCACGAACACGAGAGACGAGACTTTTGCAATCAGCCCCAGCATACTGGGAAGCAGCGTCACCTGGTACCAGTCTATTGATCGAGATTAATTGTGGCCATTTCTGGAATTCTCCTTTGGGTCTGCCTTGACCTACCTGGTGAATCTGACCACGTATCTACCAGAGCCGCAGACACTTCATCCGAGAGAGGAAGCGTAAACTGTTCTGTCGAAAGGAATCAGTGGTCAATGAAATGACTATAACAGAGAAAGGAATCACCTAGTTCTCGCGTGATGACGGAAATCACATCGCGCAGAATCGTATTGTGAAGGTTCCCCAGAAACATCGACTCGAAGCCGGGTACCTCTGCCATAAAGTCCTCGGACAAGTAAGCTGGCGTCTGCTCTTCTACCGCTATTCAGGCACACTCACCTCGACCATCGCCCTGTAATGGTCCAAGAGCTTTTCATCCCTGAATTCCTCGATGAAGGCCCCGGACACCACTAGTTTGGGCCCCAGGTCGGTGACCACGCCGAAGATGGGCGACTGTGATGCCTTTAGTTTCCACTCGCGCCATGATGCAGTTGCCTGGATAGAACAGACCTTTGCAAACCCAGCTTGCAGATACTCGGGACCATTTTGCTGGAACCTCCTGTGCGCGAAGACATTGACGACTTCCCAGGGCTTTCGAGGATTGACACTGGGAAACCCATCAAATTGGTAGCCCAGGAGTCTCGATCGAAGGAAATACAGGCCCACCGCAAGCACACAAGTCACCCATACAGTCCCTATGGAAGCATCTTCAAATCTGATCATAGTGGAAATGCTCTCAAAGTCACAAACAGTGTGCAAGCAGACTCAAAAAGCACTCGTCCAACCAGGTTCGTGGTGGAATAACAGTAGGGAATTTAATCACCCGGACTGAATCCTCTATCAGACAGCCTGTGCAACTACTACTCACTCATCCTGTCGAACAGCCAAGCGATAGGATTCTGACTGCAAGGGATGCTGGTGTTGTAGTACCAAGAGACCAAATGGGGAGTAACTATCTGCGCCCCTTGCTTTCTATTTGCTTGATGTACCCGCAGTGCTAGTGCAACCATATCAATAGTATGAGATGATCTGCGCAGATCAGCTAATCCAATCCCAGAGGTAGATCTTTCTTGTACTAATTTTCTGAAAGTTGGATTCCATAGATTGTAATGCAAGCTGTGGTAGATCATCTTAATGCCTCAAAATGTGGTCGAGATTGTTCTCCACAGCATTCTCAGCTCCTCTAAACCCTTGTCTCTGTATCATTGGATATACCTACGCGGCTTTATGCATGATATCTTCTTGTAACCTCCGTGGCAAGCCGAGATTTATCTTAAGATCTCCCATTATTACATCATATTGCTTCTCTCATTTTCCCGTAAACGTATTCCTTTTTTACTAATACCGCAGTGACTGCAGACTCTCCTTGAGACCCCAATCAGCTGGCTGTCGTCCCACACCGCTTGCATATCCATGCCTTTGCAGGACGTTGCTTTTTGAGAGGCTGAAACTGGAATTCGCGGTATGCAGAGTCAGAGGCCGATGATTATTTGGGTGAAGCAACAAGTGTAGGAAGACACATGGTACAAACTTAGCACTCCAATAGTGGTGCTTGCTTCTTGATCCCCGGGAATGACACCAATTACGGTGAAATCATTTGCAAAAAAAAGACCGATTCTACTATTCATCTGCTAGATCTTCAAAATGAGGACACCGTGGATTCCCTCTCCATCAGGATCTCGTCAGAAAGTTGGTCAATGATCATCATGTCCTAGGCGTGACAAGTTCCACATGCCAAACATCTCGCTAAATCTCCACGGCAAGCTCGAATGTCGATCACAGAAGAGCGTGTCCTATGTAGACAGTCCTCACAGGCTAATCTCCTCCTTTCGCCGACGGACGTGGATCGTGGCCGTCGGGTCTGGAAACAAATGAATACCCTGACTCCAGACTCCCGGTGACTGTCCACCCCGATGTTCGAGATCATACTTGAGAAGGATATGACACAAGGCTGCTTTGATCTCGGCTGCGGCAAAAAACCGCCCAGGACAAGCGTGCTTCCCGAATCCGAACCCCATATGATTCTGCGTCGCCGACACTAGTTGGTGCTGGCCCTCTTGCCCAGATGCCTGTCGTAGCTTATAGAACCGGTAGCCGTCGTATCGCCGGGGGTCCGGGTAGATCTCAGGATCCCACATGGTGTGGGCAGACACCATGAGCGTCGTGCCTCGGGGGATACGGAGACCGTCAGACAAGTGCATATCGCTCTGCGCAATGCGGCCCATGGACACTGTCAAAGCACACCTGGATTAGTTTGCCATTGCCAGACTGGCAGCAGGAAAGGGGACTAACACAATCTGTTCGGCGCCAGGCGTTGGCTTTCCTTCAGTGCGCTGTCCATCAGTTTGAGCCGGTACAAGGCGGCCCTGGTCCATCCCTCTTCACCCAGCACGGATACAATTTCTGCCCGGATATCCTTGATCAGGTCCGGATCCCTGCAGAGATCCATGAGCACTTGCGCCAAGAGGTTGGAGGTTCCATGGATGGCGGCAAATGAGAGCAGCAGCTGTGCGGCCACGGCATCATATGGTTGATCACCATAATAATCCTCCAGCCAGTCGACGACATCCGCGCGAGATGGCGCAGGTTTCTCCTGAGCAGCCCGGCTGGCCCTGTCGGCTCGTCGCTGGGCCACCAAGGGATCAAGGATCTCTCGTGCTTCGGCAATCTGAGCCTGCAACGTTTGGCATGCGGGCAGGAAACGCGCGACTATGGGTCGTAAGAACTTGGGCCAAAAGTGGAGTGCCTGTGCTGCCCGGTAGACGTTGTGCGTGTAGGTGATAATAATGTTGTGCCACTTGGGATCCCGGCATTTCTCTCGTCCGATGAAGGCTTTGGATGCCATCTGCGCGACGAGTTTGAGAGCCGTTTGACTTGGGCTGATCTCGTGCCATTCTATTACGGCAGGGAGGGAATGTCAATATTCAACCAGGACATTTGAATCGATCATCTGGTGTGCGCTCACCGGAGTCATCGGTCAAGGTTGTGGATAATGCGTCGGCAACCTCTACAGACAAGTCCTCTGTCATATATGCTACTCAGATAATTGATATTAGCCAAGAACTGGGCTGCATCAGAGATCGGTCGGACGGTGGAACTACCGAGTGCCTGTGTGAGGTTCGTCTTGAGGATCGTGTTCAACGGGTTTCTTGGATCTAAGATCAATTTGAATGGTTCAAACCCCGGGATGTCGGGGTGAAACTCCTAGACAGGTTGCTCAGTAACGACAACGATGAAGTATTGAACATGAACAAAACGAACTGAGGCAATGAAATGGTCCAGACTGAGGCGATCATCGCTGCGAACCTCTCGAGCGTATCGAGGCGACAAGACCAGCAAAGACCCGTTGTCAGTGAGAATGCGAAAGGCATCAGGAGACTGGTATGACGATGGAATTCAGCACTCTGTATCCTGAATAACGTAGACTTCTCTCACACACTCACCTTCTTAAAGCCGTTCTGTAGAAGACGTGCCGCGTCTGAGCGAAATCGCTTCTTCGCCGTGGTGCGAAAGACGTCCCAGGCTTTTCCACTATTGATCACCGTCAAGGTCGATGGGAAGAGGTATGGTGAGATGAGAAGAAGGGTCAGGGGACCCAGGAACAGGATAATGGCCACTGCCCAGGCCCAATTTGAATCCAGAGGCATGTTGTCCATGTTGTCTCAAAGTCGCTGGGATGAGATACTAGATACTATGATTGCGCATCTGGTGAGGAGTACGGAGTACAGAGGATGAAGAAGACATGATGAAGACATATGATTGTACCGACTCCACTCCTTCATGCAAGGAGCACCCTTGGATCGACGTCTGCATATGCATGTCAGCCCCGGGATCTCCGTCGGCGTCATACTTCCTCACCGCTCCTTGAACCCGCGTCTGGCTAGTCTGTGGCTGATGTACGGAGTGGGGAAAATGCTTCCCAAGTAGGAAACACTGTTTCTGACCTGTCCATGCCCAAAAATTGGTCGATAGGATGGCTTTTGTCATTCGTTCGATAGTTGCAATGTTGACGGGATGGTGGCAGCAGCCGAGGCAACACTGCTTTCTACATATCTGCATACTCACCTGTTAATTATCTACTCTGGACCTCAGATCTTACCTATCCCCCCCTCAACACAAACTCACAATGAAAGCAACAGAGCCTGTTGCGATTATTGGCACAGGATGCCGCTTCCCCGGGGGCGCTTCTTCCCCTGCTAAACTATGGGAACTTCTCCGAAATCCCCGGGAGATCGCGCGCAAGATACCAGCCAACCGATTCAATATCGACGCTTTTTATCATCCAGACGGAGACCATCATGGCACGACAAACGTCCAGGAATCATATTTTTTGGACGAGGATATCCGAGCCTTCGACGCAGCCTTCTTCAATATCTCGCCGACGGAAGCGGCGGCGATGGATCCGCAACAGCGATTACTCCTCGAGACAGTGTACGAATCGCTGGACGCCGCGGGGTTACGGATGGATGCGCTGCAGGGCTCAATGACCGGGGTATTCTGTGGTGCCCTTCGCAATGACTACAGTCAAATCCAGGCCATGGATCCCCAGGCCCTCCCAGCGTACATGGTCACGGGCAACTCGCCGTCAATCATGGCCAATCGCATCTCCTACTACTTTGACTGGCGTGGTCCCTCCATGACAGTTGATACCGGATGTTCGTCGAGTCTACTAGCTGTCCATCTCGGAGTCGAAGCTTTGCAGAATGACGACTGTTCCCTGGCAGTGGCAGTAGGGAGCAACCTGATACTGTCACCCAATGCCTATATCGCAGACTCTAAAACACGGATGCTGTCCCCTACCGGTCGGAGTCGCATGTGGGACAGCAAGGCTGACGGCTACGCACGCGGCGAAGGGGTTGCATCGGTGGTTTTGAAACGGCTGCGGGACGCAATCATCGATGGGGACCCCATTGAGTGCGTGATCCGAGCCTCCGGGGCGAATTCGGACGGACGAACCATGGGGATTACTATGCCTAATGCCAAGGCACAGCAGTCATTGATCCTCGCAACCTACGCACGCGCGGGCCTATCTCCTCAAGACCGGCCCGCGGATCGGTGCCAGTATTTCGAGGCTCATGGGACAGGGACCCAGGCCGGAGATCCCCAGGAAGCGGCTGCAATCCACGCGAGCTTCTTTGGGCCTGAATGCGTCCCCGATCCGCCTAATCGACTGTATGTGGGATCGATCAAGACGATTGTTGGGCATACAGAAGCCACTGCTGGACTGGCGGGATTGATCAAGGCTTCCCTGTCGCTGCAACACGGGATGATCGTCCCTAATCTCCTGATGAAGCAGGTCAATCCAAAGATAGAACCGTTTGCCGCTCAGCTATGTGTCCCAACGGAGTGTGTTCCGTGGCCTGCGGTCCCAGAGGGGTGTCCCCGCCGAGCCTCGGTGAACTCCTTCGGTTTTGGGGGCGCCAATGTGCACGTTGTCCTCGAAAGCTACACTCCCCGGGACTTCAGTCAGTCCCGCGGCTTGCCCTCCAGCCTGCCCTTCGTCTTCTCGGCTGCCTCGGAGCGAACATTGACATTCGTCCTGGAATCCTACGCGAGATTCCTGCGGGAACACGCAGCAGTCAGTCTTCTTGGTCTGGCGGTATCCTTGTGGACTCGACGTTCCACTCATCGCCACCGCCTGACGCTGATAGCGCACTCGCTACAGGAATTACAAGACCAGATTGACACCGAACTAAGTCGAAGGGCCACGGGTAAACCCTCCTCCATCGTCTCCAGATCCAGCAGTCGGCCCAGGCGCGTCATGGGCATCTTTACGGGCCAAGGAGTCCAGTGGCCGCAAATGGGGCTCGACCTGGTCGAGGTAAGTCCTCAGATTCGACAATGGATGGCTGATCTGCAGGAAGCTCTGCATCAACTCCCTCTGGAATTTCGCCCGGGATTCTCTCTTCTCGAGGAATTGTCACGACCGGCATCCTCTTCGCGTATACACGAGGGTCTTCTCTCTCTCCCTCTACGGACAGCGTTGCAAATCATGCAAGTCAATATCCTTCGTGCGGTAGGGATTGAATTCACCCTTGTCGTCGGCCACTCCTCCGGGGAGATTGTAGCAGCCTATGCTGCGGGTGTGCTGAAGGCCTCGGATGCCATCCGCATTGCATACCTTCGGGGAAGAGCGATCGACCAGTCGCGGGATTCAACGGGTCGGATGATGGCCGTCAATCTGACGTGGCAGCAGGCACAGGCCGTTTGCGCCCTAGAACCCTATTCCGGACGCATCAGCGTTGCGGCCGCCAACTCCCCGTCCAGTGTCACCTTGTCCGGTGACGCAGAGTGCCTGCGGGAGTTGGAGTGGCTGCTGAAGAGCCTGGGCCTGACTCCGCGCATGCTTCGAGTGGACACCGCATATCACTCTCCTCACATGAAGCCGTGCGCGGACCCATATCGTCAGGCAATGCAAGCCTGTCCCGTCGCTCTGGCACCGTCTACCGCTCGCTGGTACTCTAGCGTCTACCCCCGGGAGGTCATGACTGGGCATGATCAGAACCAACTGACGGGAGAGTACTGGGTCGAGAATATGCTACGTCCCGTCCAGTTCTCCCAGGCCTTGGAGGCCGCCGTACGAGAGGCCGGACCACCAGATGTCATCGTCGAGGTCGGGCCACATCCGACCCTCAGAGGACCCGTCCTCCAAACCTTGTCCAATGTGCACTCGGCCCACTCAACAATCCCATATCTTGCCCTTGCTGAGAGAGGAAAGTCCGGCCCTGATTGCTGGGCAATGGCCCTGGGATCGGCCTGGGCGCATCTCGGCCCCAATATCGTCCGTCTCGCAGACTATGTCTCCCTGTTTGATCCAAGCCAGTCACATGTGCCGGTAGAATCGCTACCACTCTACCCTTTCGATCACTCCCAGACCTACTGGGCCCAGTCACGAATATCATTGAACTATAGCCATTGTGTTACACCTCCGAACGCCCTCCTCGGTGCTCTCAGTCCGGAGACCGGACCAGGAGAGTTCCGTTGGCGAAACTACCTGCGGCCAGAGGAGCTGCCCTGGTTGGCAGACCGTCGTGTCGGATCGAGACCTGTCTTCCCTGAGACTGGATATATATCGATGGCACTGGAGGCGGGGATGATAATGGCAGAGACTAAGGGACTCCGCTTGCTGAGTGTTAAGGATTTAACCGTCCACACGCCGCTCCCCATCCAGAACGATCCCATCGGCACGGAAGTGCTTGTCACTGTGGATGGTATTCTCTCGCGTGACGGAGTCATTTCCGCCCTCTTCCGCTGCGAGGCTGCTGTATCAGGAGAGTTCGTTGAGTGTGCATCAGCCAAGATGATCATGCATCCAGGGGATCCAGACCGTGCCCTCCTCCCCCCACAAGGCCAGCTGGCTCCGGCGATAGTACCCGTGGACACCACCGAGTTCTATGATAGCCTGCGTCGCGTGGACTATCACTGCACTGGATCGTTTGCTGGGTTGGCAGGACTCCACCGACGGCGGGATCTCGCCGCCGGAACCGTGCTCGTTCCTTCGAGAGATCCTGACGGGCCTATTACTCTCCATCCCACAATCTTAGAGCTCGCTATTCAAGCAATGATTGCCGCGTTGGGTGCGCCCAACGAGGGGCTGCTGACGGGACCGTTCCTGTCAAAAACTGTCGACAGTATCTGGGTCAACCCTGCCTTGTGTGCCTCTGGAAAGGAAATGACGGTAGTCAGCTATCTGACTGATGTCGACGGGGATCATATCCGCGGTGATATCGACATTTTTACGATGGATGGGCAAAAGGTCGTCCAGCTCGAAGGCGTTTGCCTCGTATCCCAGCCATCTGGGAATGCACCGAATGATACGCAGGTCCTTTCCCAGACCGAGTGGGGGCCTCTTGAGCCCACTCTGAAGGGGACATCACACCCATTGCCAGCGGATCTTCTACAGCTACAGTCTCTCCGAGAGGAGCTTGCCCTACTGTATATCCAGCGGGCCAGTGATCGACTGACCGACTCGGAGAGGGATGGATTGGATTGTGGTGGCACTCGTCTGCTTGCGTGGATGAGCCAATGCATTGCGAATGCTCGCGAGGGACTACATCTTGTAGGCTCATCCGAACGGTTGGACCAGAGCATTGAGGCCTTCAAGGCTCGAGTGGGCCCCTCAATAGAGGACCCCGGTCTCAGGGCGATTGCTGCGGTGGGCCAACGACTGCCTCGCGTCGTGCGTGAGTCGGGTCCGCAAAGACAGGCCTGGCCAGGCGTCGACGAGGGAAATGAATATCTGAAGCACGACGTGCAGGTATCCCACCTGGTAAACAATCTCGTCTCTGTGGTCAGTCAGACGTGTTTCCGCTTTCCGCAGATGGACATCCTTCAGATCGGCACACTGGGAGGTTCTGTTCACTCTGTACTGGGGAAGATGGGTCGGAGCTTCCGGTCATTCACTTATGCAGCGCTCACTCCTTCGGGCCTACGGATGGATGGGGACGACCTTGAGCGACCTAGCGAGGTGCAGCACAAGACTTTGGATATCGATCGGAATCCTCTCGAGCAGGGCCACCGGGAGCAATCCTACGGTATGGTGCTTTTTACCGCTGCGGGATTCCCCCGAGAGGTTGCAGTGGCCCATATCCGTCGCTTGCTCAAGCCCCGGGGATTCCTGGTCCTACTGGTGCGAACGAACCCCGATAGCACACATTTGAATCTCCTATTCGGCCCTCCTGCGAGATGCATAGAGACCGGGAAAGGGCACTGCTCTGGTGAACAAGTCACCACCAGGGAGCACTGGGCTGAGCTACTGTCTACAAACGGTTTCTGCGTGGAGTCGCTCGATACGCCCCAAGAAACTGCGAGCCTCCAGGGCTTCTCATTCCTCCTCTGCCGGGCACCGGACAATCACAAGGAGCCGTCGCGTCGCGGAGACCTGTTGCTGCTGGGCGGGGACGCCGAGAAGGCAGACTGCCTCATGTCGCAACTAGCTGGATTGGTGCAGGACGAGTTTGATCAGGTTCTTCGAACACCATCCCTGGATCTGATGGAGGACACGGATCGGTCGGAACTGACGGTTCTGAGCCTCGTCGATGATCGAGATGTCACTGATGCCAGCCTAAGCGGGCTGCGGAGACTGATTACGACCAGCAAGCGGGTTTTATGGGTCACACGTGAGAAGACCGGTCAGCCGAACGATGGACTGGCGAGAGGTCTTCTTCGCAGCATCATGGCCTCTGAAAGACCGTCCTGTCAGCTGCAGCTGCTACACATCACAAATCCGGCTGGAGTGTCAGCGGAAGTCCTGGCCACCGCCCTTGAACGCTTTATTCAAGCCAGTGCAGCTCAGGAAAGTCCTAATTCGTGCGGATTGGGCAGCATTGAGCCCGAGATTGAATATGACGGCTCTATGTTCCGCATTCCTCGTCAATACCACGACCATTCTACTGGGCTGCGCCATCTGGCCAGGCGGCAGAGGGTGACAGACTGTGTGGACCTCAGCCAGGGAGTGGTACAGATTCTCCCCCCGGCCGCTGACCGGACTTGTGAAGGGTTCCGGCTTCTCTCGGTGGCTCATCCGCCGGTAACCTCAGACGACGGATCGACCGTTCATCTGCGAGTACGACATTCCACTCTCGCTGCAGTGCGGGTAGCAGGGGCCATGTTCCTGCGGCTGGTCATAGGGCGGGAGGTTAGCAGCAACAAGAGAATGATCGCTCTGTCGTCCCATGTTGCATCTCAGGTCATTGTCCCGGAATCCTGGGCGTGGTCAGTGCCGGACGCGGTGTCGGAAGCCCAAGAGCATTCTTTTCTCCACGCCACAGCGGCTGCTCTGTTGGCGGGATACCTGGTCGAACAAGTCCCACAATTCGGGACGCTCGTGGTGCACGAGGCTGACCAGGTCCTCCAGTCCATCTTCCACCAAATACCGACCCGGCGCAATCTTAAAGTCGTCTTCAGTACCAGCACAAGCAACCCGGACAAGGACAGACCAATGCTGTTCTTGCACGAGCATAGCACTGCGCGGCAATTGTCTCAAGTACTTCCCTCAGATGTATCGGCGGTGGCTGTCTTGAATCGCCGGGGACAGGGCATATACGACCGTATGCTATCGCGCTTGCCTGAGAACGCGACGCGGATTCACATAGACGATCTTTACCTTGCCTCTGCATCCATAGGGCCGACTAACGGGCATGATTCATCGCTCGTAGCCAAAGCCTTCATAACCGCCTGCTTAGTGGCGTACACCGGCCGCGAGGCGTTCTCATTAACCTCTGTGGATTCGGTCCCGATGGCTAATGTTTCTGAGTACCCCACCACTCATTGCCACCAAGGGATTATAGATTGGGACTCTTCAACTCGGGTGCTAGCCCAGATACCAACTGCCAGTTCCCAGGTACAGTTGTCAGAGAAGAAAACCTACATACTCGTAGGACTCGCCAGCGAACTGGCCCGAATGGCTTGTCTCTGGCTGGCAGCACACGGGGCGAAATGGATCCTACTCGCTAGCTCCCATCCGGAGCCAGATGCGTGGTGGTTGGAAGAAGTTTCTAGACGCGGAACGCGCATCGCTCTTTCGACAATGTAGGTGACGCACCCAGGTAGTTGCATTTGCACACAAGCTGATAGATGCCAGAAACTCCATCGACGGCGTTTCCGTCAGCAGTTTGCATCAGAGAATCGCCCATCCGTTTCCCCCGGTAGTAGGAGGAGTGCTGATTGAGCCCGGGCCACTGCCCGACTGCTCCTTGTCCCAGCTCACCGCGGGAGTACTCCAGAGCCAGCTGCATCCGGTTTTGAGGGGGCTTCAGCTACTAGACGAGCTCCACGAGAGCCCATCCCTGGACTTTTGGGTGCTCATCGGATCGATTGCAGGAACGCTGGGCCACGCGGACCAGGCAATGACCGCGGCTATGTCCGAGAGGATGGCCTCGCTGGTCCGCCACCGTCGGTCCCGGGGCAGGCCGGCGAGCCTGGTACATCTGGGAGAGATCCACGGCATTGACAGCCCCTCTGCCAGGCCGCGTCCTTGGTGGGGTCCGGCGGTTGTATCCCAGCGGGATGTTGACGAAATACTCGGCGAAGCGATCCTATGCGGGCGCCCAGGTTCCACTCGCAACGCCGAGTTCATCGCAGGCCTTCGACATCAGAGCTTGGAGACTGGTCGCATGGCGTGTCCAGTGCCAAAGCTGTGGCCGTTCTACTCTCACACGGCCACCGCGAGCCAGGATCAAACGCCTCCGTCGCTTGAGCCCCAGTCGACCAAAGATCTTGTGGCCGCGGCGACCAGCCGGGAGGAAAAGGCTGAAGCAATCGCGAGCCGTCTTATGGAGAAGATCCGGGCCAGATTGAATCTAACTGTAGATGCACCGCTCTCCCCCGACACGCTGATCCCGGAGCTCGGAGTCGACTCGCTTATCGCCGTTGAGCTGCGTCGGTGGTTTACAAAAGAATTGACCGTCGACATACCGATTGTGTTGATTCTCAGCGGTGCATCTGTGGGCGAATTGGCGTATTCAGCCGCTTCGAAGCTCTGCAATGACAACATCGGGCTATGTAAATAGTATTAGCTTAGTGTAGATCTGTAGAATAGTGCGAATAAATGGTGTGGCTCCTTTTTCAATAGTCTACTGCATGTTACATGTCTCATGCAGTGTCGATCAAAATCATGCAAGGGGGGTTTAGCCTGCATCTGGCGGTCTGGGAATCTCAGCTCGTACTTAAAAGCGCAAAGGCCCTCCTGCAGGAAATATATCTGCATATTTATCGGTAAATCGCACACGAGGTGAACATTAACTACTATCAATATGGAGCCACACGGCGAGACGGACCTAGTCAGCTTTGCTTTTAGTGGCCCTACCACGTTTGACCCATCCAAGCCCATCTATCTCGACGCCCAGAATTCCTCGCGCGCATTCAATGCCATACAATTCCGACTGCTCGTGCGATCACTTATTGCTGGGCTCAAGGCTCGGGCTGTGGAACGAGGCGATTGTGTCCTAGTGCAGCTGGAGAATACTGTAATCACGACGGAACCCCCATGGCCATGAAATGTCCCCTAACATTAACGTAGGTCATACACTCTGCTCTTTTCTTCGCCATTGTCGGCGCCGGAGGGGTCTACATGGGCTGCGATGTGGATAGTCCCGCCCATGAACTGACTCATCTGCTTCGTCTCGCCGAGCCTCGGCTGGTGATCACTGCTCCAGGTGCCTTATCAAGGGCTCTGGAGGTGTGCAGCCTTCAGGGAATTTCCCCAGGTCAAGTCCTCCTGGTGGATGAGCACACCATCGATAACATAGTCCAATTTGCGCACGGTCCGGCGGAGCAGACGGAGGGACTCAATAACCAGACAGCTGACCCGTCTATCCGCCTGGAGAATCTGCTCGGGCACGGGGAGTCAGACTGGCTTCGTTTCGAAGATAGTGAACAGAGCAAGAGGACGCCGGCTGCCATGTTCCTAACCAGCGGCACCAGCGGGCTCCCCAAAGCCGCAATTCGAACCCACCACACGATCATCTCCCACCATCTGAGCGTCCACTATCAAGTACCGTACCCCGTCGTCCGCCTGATGGCACTGCCCATGTACCATTCCTTTGGCGACTTCTGGACCAACATCTTTCCCATCCGGTACGGCGAGCCCCTGTATGTCCTTCCGCGCTTCGACATCTCCGCTTTCCTCGACGCCGTCCGCCAGTACCACATCTCGGAGACATACATGGTCCCCGCCATGGTCCACATTCTGAACCAGTCCTCCCTGCCGGTAGCCGAGAGCTTGTCCTCCCTGCGCTACGTTGGTATCTCCGGAGCCCCCATCGACGGTTATTCCTTGCAGCGATTCCAGCGCCTCCTGTCGCCGGACGCTGTAGCGGGAAATCTCTGGGGCATGACTGAGGTGGGAGTGGTCTTCCAGAATCGTTACGGGGTGATGCCGCAATTCGGCAGCGTGGGTACTCTGTTGCCGGGATACGAGCTGCGCTTTGTCGATCCCGACACGGGCGAAGATGTCGGCGGGATGGCAGATTCTCCTGGAGAGTTGTATGTCCGCGGGCCGGGACTCCTCTTAGGGTATAGAGGGCGGGCCGATGGCAAAGACGAGCAAGGATGGTTCCGGACGGGAGACATGGTGTATGCACGAGACGGAAATTACTATATCATCGGGCGGACAAAGGATCTCATCAAAGTGCGAGGGCAAGTCACCCAATTCTCTAACTTTTCCCTTTCTCCCTCCATGGGACATCCCATGCAGTAGATGATAGACTAACATATTGTGCTTGATTCTAGGTACTCTGTCGCCCCCGCAGAGATTGAAGGGATTCTACTGAAAGACCCGAGTGTCAAGGACGCAGCTGTGATCGGGGTCATGCTCCCAGACGGCAGCAGCGAGGTCCCCCGAGCGTATGTGGTCCGCGCCGGCATATCTCCCGAGTCGACGGCGGATCAATTGGCAGACCTGATTCAAAACCAGTTGGCCAGCTATAAAGCCCTGGATGGAGGTGTAGTCTTTGTGGACGAGATCCCACGGACGGGGATCGGCAAGCCCCATCGAGTGAAGCTCTCACAGCTGGATCGCCAACGGGAGAAGATCGCCTCCATTCTTGGTCTGTCTGTTGCTGCGCAGTGATTACTGGCATGACTGTATGCACTTTTACTAGCAGTCAAGAGCCAAGAGCGTATAAGTTCATGATGTATAGGCCATTCCATCATTGTATACTCATAGCGAATTCGATCAACGGTGGCATAATATTTCGGTCTACAAAGGCATCTATAACCATTCATAACATACCGCTGAGGTTTATCCTGTATCTCTTTATTTTATGAGTTTAGATATATCTATCTATTACACGTCAGGCCCGCCACTGCACATTTAGGCACCTGTAACTATTACCCCATTTGGACTCAGCAACTATCAGACTCTGGGCTCGAGGGCTTGGTGAGCAGCATCAGATTGGCATTTATCGCGACGGACTGTGCTTGATTGATAGGTAATGGCAAGCTCTGAACATTTCTCGAGCGGTCAGTAACTCGCAATTTTATCGAATCCCATGGTCATAGGTATGCTTCGCAGAGGAATAGAAAAATTGCTCATGCGCAGACTTGGTAACGGTTTCTGGGACTGTTTACCGGCCAAACCATCTACGTCGAATCATGCCGCTGCAGTGACTGACTAGAGGTCAGCCTGGAGACTGTTCTGGAGCAATCCATGAGGGTCATGAGTACGTCTTTTGATATGAGCTGAGTAAACAGTCAAGCCATAATACACCATGGAAACAACGGTTGATGAAAGATCTCAGAGATGTGAAGGATGACCAAAGTGGTCTTAAGTGCGGACTGAAAATATAGATAGAGGCCAGGGGCCAAAGGATGCAAAGGGACTCAAATCCAGCTGAATCACACTTTTTCAACGCCGTGGCCGCGTGGGCTGTTGCCTCGGCCTGTCAGAGCCTGCCTGTCACTCGGAACCTTTGGTCTCGCGATGTCGACTACAAGGCGCTCAGCGAGAAGCTTTCCAGCTCCGCTAAGGTTGACTACCCTGGCTCGGATGAGAAACTCAACGAATATGTGGTTTAGAAGATGCACGCCAATTATGAATGGGTTGCCGATATGCCAAACTTAAGCTACTAGCTTAAGACCGGTGACATCCTCGCAAGCTTTGACGACGACCTCCTGCAAATTTTCATCCGCTGTCACTTCCAAAGGTTCACCGATCTTCTTTTTGGGTTCAAAATATACACCAGTGAGACTTTGATCGTAATCACCTTCGGCCAGCATGACGTATGTCTCAACACCATCCTCCAGCTTGTCGGTAGCCCCCTGACCTCCAATCTTGGTAGGAACCCATCCAGGATGCACAGCCGTGACGGAAGTGCTCTTGAACCGCCTTGCCACTGCATTCGCAAGAAGCAGAACATGAAGCTTTGAATCGCAGTAGGCCGGGAAATCCTGGAATTCCTTTCCCCCACGCTCCAACCAGAAAATATCCTTCGCGTTCGTGTTGGTGGCTTCTCGGTGTAGGACGGAAGCGATAAAGATAAGACGCTTGGGTGGTTGAAGGAGACAAGAGAGGATATAGGGTGCGATAACATTGACGAAGACCATAGCTGGCACGCCTGTCTCTGGCGTCTTGCGGAAGGGGCCGTAAAGCAATCCGGCATTCAGAATGACAGCATCAAAGGTACCAATCGCGTTGGCTTCCTCAGCCAGTTTGCGCGTCTCAGTTACGCTTGTCAAGTCTGCAATCAGCACGCCGGCAGCTCCAGGGCATTTTGCCTTGGCATCCTCTGCGCGCTCTTGGCTACGCGCATGAAGATAGACGGTATGATTACGCTGGACCAGCTGACGGGCAGCCTCAAGGCCAAAGCCATCCGTAGAACCTGTTATCAGGATACGGGCCATTTCGCAGAAGTTGGCACAGTGGAAATGAGAATGGTGCTATATTTAAAGATGTATTTTCAATGAAGGCACAGAGAGGGCCAGATGGGACAATAAATTTTCAAGGGGCTTCAACAAGGGGGAGTGAGAACAGAGCTGATTTCAGTCACATCTGATTCTGTGGTAATAGAAGGAGAGATTATGAAATGCAGGTTTAAGATACTTAATCAAAAGGCAGGGAAAGTAAGCTAGAAAGTTATAGAAAGTAGTAGAATAAAGTTCTTAACCTATTAGAGTTACTCTATACTATTTTATAGGGTAAGCTGTGTTAATTTAGAATACCCTATTTATAATAGGCTGGCAAGAACTAAGAGACTTCTCCATATCTCCTATACCTGGCCATTGATTAGATACTAGTCTAGGTAGAGATCATCATACATCATCTGATTTTCACTCTCAAATAGTAATCACTAAGGTGGAACAAGCGCCGCCAATAGCCCAGGGAAAGCCCACTTTGGCTGAGACATGCTACTGGGTGTCCAGTCGGATCTCAACATGCTTGATCTAGGCGGTTCCCTTTGGTATAGTCGCTTATCCGCATCTAATAATCGCTTCTTAAGCGATTCTTCTTCATCTTTACTCCCGCAATATAATGTTATGCACGCTGTCCAATACCATCACACCAACATTACAATGCGATTTCCGCATTTCTCCGACGATAGCTCAAGCGACACATGGGATGAAGTAGATTACCAATCCCAAAATGAATGAATGTTGGGTTGTCTTGGACATCAGGCAACTTCCAATCATAGTTCAACAGCAGGAAGCAAAGTGCAATCTTCAGCTCATTGCTCGCCAAGAACCTTCCTGGACATCCGTGATCTCCATAGCCGAATCCCAGATGTTCGGGAGTCATGGAGGTGTGCTGCCAATTGTTGGATTTCCCGGCCTCATTCCTCAACTTCAAAAAGCGATAAGCATCGAACTTGTCCGGTTCCGGGTACAGATCTGGATCGCTAAAGCGTCCTGCAATCCAGATGCGAGATCCCTTGGGTAACACTGTGCCGTCCGAAAGTGTGACATCGCCGTACAAGTAGCGGTTGACTGAAGCTGCAGAAGCAGGATGCATGCGTTGCGACTCCTTGAGGAAGCTGTCCATCAACCTCATCCTATGCAGAGTAGTCCGCGTCCAACCCTCGCTTTTCACTTCCCGCACAATTTCCTCTCGCAGAGCCTTGAAGAGTTCCTGATGTTGGCACAGATCGACGAGAGCCTGCGAGAGAGCTTCGGTCGTTGTGTGAATGCCAACAACACTCATGCCCAGTTGACCTGCCGCATAGTCCATGTCGCTTGCTCGTGCTTGAGCTACCATCCATCCGATCAAGTCTGTCATCTTCTCGGGCTTTCCGCCTGCTGCAAGCGCCTTCCGCACTTCCGCTTTCCTTTTTTCGATCACTGGCTGCACTATTCTGCCTGCATCGCGGACTTGGATACGAAGCTGCTTATAGAGAGGGTTGAACCAAAATGTTAGCAGCCGCCGGAGACTGGAACCCTGACGCATTGCCATGGACGCCTGAAACAGATTGACAGTATGACTCTGCGCTATCTCAAGCCATTTGGGATCGCGACAGAGCTCAGGACCAAGAAAGACCCTCGAGGAAAGGCGGGAGACGTAGTAGCCTGCCCGGGACTTGATGGAGATGGTCTGCCACTCTTTCTCGTCCCCGAAAATTTCAGGAGTCGCCAGCCTCGTTTCATCGACCAAGGAGTCTGTCACAGCTCCCATTGACTGCGTGAGGTTGATGCGGATAGCGTCGACGACGACACGTTCATGGTTGCTAAGAAACGTCATGCCGTCAAACCCAGGCCAGCCCGCAAAATTATCGCGAGTCTGGGTTTGGATCAAGTTTGCCACCTCATTCTTTCGGAACTCCTCAGTGAAGCGATTTGGTAGCATAATCTAAGGGAAAGAAACGTGTCAGCGTCCAGATATCTTGCCTACTTTTACTCTCAAAGGTGTATCGTACCTTTGGACCTGTTCCAGTCATGACTTGAAACGCACCCTGATGCGCCTTCAGGCCCTTTGCCATAACCCTAGGACCGTCCTTCATCCATGCTTCCTTCGGGCTTAGGCCTTCCTCCTCGAGACCGACGAGCGGGAAGCCTTTCAAAGGTCGTTCTATGTCCGCCTGCTTCTTCAGATGATAGGCGACGGCAAATATCACAGCAGCTGCCACGAATGGCAGATAGACTACGGTGACATGATATAGCGCTTGGTATACCGTTTGAAGCGACATTCTGGGCGATGAGATTTTACCAGTGGATTGAACGAGCAAAGCACACTTTCTTTGTGTAGATCTTTTTGCCTCAATGAGACACTCTGCCATGCATAGATAATAGTGTAAGCATTTGTTGTCAGCATTGAGACTGATGACCACAGATGCTCTAGAACTACTTGGTGTGAGTGCGCAGCAAACTTATTGTCAGGAATAGCAAGCCATCCTCGTAAAACTGTGCAGATAATCGGACACACGGTGAATCAACTAAATCCTAACCACGTCATCAATGCAACTGTACTGTAAATTCAGAAATATTTAGAACAGTGACGCTCTCGCTTTGCTTACTGAATTGGAGATGGGAGGGTCCAAATGGCTTATGCAGATGTTGTGGTGAATCTTAGCTTCCAATGTAATCACCAAGCTCGACACGGATGGGCACTATCTCTTGATGTGTTCGCACAGTGCTTAGAACTCAGGTCAGAGGTGCAAACATTAAAATTGTCTCTCAAGTTTGCACATTTGTATCATCTTTCGATCAAAACTTGTCCGCAACACCATATCCGACCGATCTGGATCAACATGGCACCACCCGTAAATGTCGGCATCAAGGCCATTGAGATATACTTTCCTGCTCAGGTCTGTATCCAAGACATAAACCAAGATCAGCGGAATAGTTCCCTTTCCTAACATTGCGTGAACGTAGTGCGTCGACCAAGAAGAGCTTGAGAGGTATGATGGAGTCAGCAAAGGAAAATACACCGTTGGCTTGGGACAGACGAGAATGAGTTTCTGCGACGACAGAGAGGGTAAGCTACTTGGAAAAAAAAGCAAAATATTCCCCGGATTTGAGTGCTAAGGTGTTCAAATCAAGACATCAACTCAATCGCTCTTACTGCGGTGTCGGGACTCCTGCGCAAGTACGATGTCGATCCAAGATCCATTGGCCGACTTGAAGTGGGCACAGAGACGATGCTGGACAAGTCAAAGTCGGTCAAATCGGTCCTCATGCAGCTTTTTGAACACTGCAACAACACAAACATCGAAGGCGTGGATACCATCAACGCTTGTTACGGCGGAACGAACGCGCTCTTCAACGCTGTCAACTGGGTAGAGTCGCGCGCTTGGGACGGCAGAGAGGCCATCGTTGTCGCAGGGGATATTGCACTCTATGAGAAGGGCAACGCAAGGCCAACTGGAGGCGCAGGCTGTGTGGCCATGCTAGTAGGCCCTAATGCTGTCCTAGCTCTCGAGCCTGGCTTGCGAGGTTCCTATTCTCGGCATGCTTATGACTTCTACAAGCCCAACTTCTCGGTTGAGTATCCTTACGTTGATGGTCGTTTGTCATTGAACTGCTACACGGAAGCTGTCGACGCTTGCTATAAAGCTTATCTCGAACGTTTCGAGACTGAAAGCTCAGGCCACGCAGTTGGGGAGGATGACCACAGGAATCACCAAACTTTGCCTGCAGATAAGTTCGACTACATGTGTTTTCATGCCCCAACCTGCAAATTAGTGACCAAGTCATACGCTCGCTTATTCTACCGCGACTTCTTGTCTGATCCGGACAACAAACTTTTCAAAGCAATTCCTGCAGAGCTCGGATCTGCAGGTTATGCGTCCAGCCTCAACGACAAGCTGATTGAAAAGACTTTCATGACGCTGTCTCAGGAACGTTTCAAACACCGGGTAGAGCCCTCCACGTATATCCCGACTCAGTGCGGCAACATGTATTGCGGAAGTCTTTACTCCGGCCTTTGCAGTCTGTTAGGTCTTGTCCAGAGCGATCAGCTACAAGGCAAGCGCATCGGCATGTTCAGTTATGGTAGCGGGCTTGCTAGTACCATGTTCAGCTTGCTGGTAGTAGGAAGTACGGAAAATATTCGAGCCAGTCTCGACTTGAAGAAGAGACTGAGCGAGAGGCGAGTTGTGTCTCCGGAATCATACGATGAAGTAAGTTCCGTCTCAAAACATCTGGATAAAAGTGCCCAAATACTTAACTATGTCTTGTGCCCAGGCATGCCGCATTCGAGCGTTTGCTCACCAACAAAGCCCTTATCAACCCATCGGAAGCTTGGCTGGCCTCTCCAAGGATACTTATTATCTTACTCACGTCGACAAGATGTTTAGGAGGACTTATAGGGTCAAATGATAGTTGTGTGCCAAATTTGGTTCTACATAAATGCTGCTGGCAACAATATGATTGACTGTATTTAATAGTTTGCTTAATTGGTACTTGTAGCCATGCCTAGACGTATGGTCACCAGTTGAACTTCAACGCTACTTCTACCTATTCTACAACGCTATAGATCCATGTATCATGGCCTGTCAAAAGATGATGCCGAAGATGGAAATGGTGAAATGATAGGCACATGTGTGTGCTGACTTGTAAGCATGCTGACTGGTGATAATAAATAAGCGTTTCCCAGAAAGGCAACGATCTATCATGCTTATTACTTATCGTAACTATGAACATCGATGACGGTGGGTTGCCTGAAGCCTTGTAATCTGTAATCTCCGGTTGGCGAGGCTGAACTGAGAGCTATTCATCTATTCATAGTAAAAACTGCCCGGAATGTTGTGTTTTATCGCTGCAATTCACTGGCACTCTACTATGCACACGCCAGGGATCATGTTTCAGCAACATAACTTGATGAGTTTAACTTACATGTCTGGCGCAGCGGCGCTGATATATTTGCTGTGCTTGGCTATTTATCGCGGTATGCAAATAATGCTCTAGGAGAGGAGCTTGGAATCTTTGCCATGCTAACTAACATAATATTATTCTCCTAAGTGTATCTTTCCCCGCTCTCTCGAATACCAGGACCCAAGCTCGCCGGTAAGACTGGACGATACTCCACGAGGAGCGTGAATCCCGAATTGTAACCCTGTCTCAGCATTGACTTACTGGTACGAGACGTACTATGAAGTTTACAAGGGTGGGCAGTACTTTCGCGTTATCGATGAAATGCATGCCAAGTATGGTCAGGATTTTCCCCATCATGAGAGTATATTCGATAGCCTTCTGCTTAAACCCAAGATCATAGGCCCCGTCGTCCGCATCACTCCGAATGAGCTGCACTTCGAAGATCCAGAGTTCAACGATGTGCTTTATCCGAGTGCGGGTAAGAGAAAGATAGACAGGCCCGAGTATGCTGCGGCGAGGGCTGGGAGTAAGTCCAAGCGTTCAATGGAATGGATTCTTCCTTCAGCTCGCATGTTAATAAGCTGTATGGTATTGTCCCGTCTCCAGCTCCTGGATCCATCGTTGCCACTGCACAGCATGATGTTCATCGACGACGCCGAAACGCTCTCAACTCTTTCTTCTCTGGGGCAAGCGTTCGCCGGTTGGAGCCCATCATCCAAGAGCACATGGACAAACTGCTCGTTCGGATGGAAAAGTCTGGCAAACAATGTGAAGTTGTTGAACCACATCACATGTTCAAAGCGTGCGCGAGCGACATCATCACGCTTTATGCCTTTGGGGATTCTTTCCATTTTATGGATCAGCCTGACTATGGACAACCTTACTTCCGGGCGGGAGAGGCATTTAACAGCATGACGCACATCTTTGGTGCTTTCCCATGGCTCCTCACCCTCGCGATCTCGGCGCCGGGATGGTTGGTTAAGTATCTGAAACCAGAGATGACTGAGTTTGTGGACCGCCGAGAGGTAGGTACCTATGGTTTCTCACCTCGAGATTGCTGCTGATTATACACGCATACAGTGGTGGGTTGAGAAGGTTCGGGAAATTAAAAACTCAAATGATCCAGAGCGAGCGAAGAATACCATTTTCGGAGGCATACTAAATAGTGCTCTGCCGGCAGCGGATAAGACGGACGAGAGGTTGGCAAATGAGGCACAATTGGTCGTTTTCGCCGGAGAGGGCACAACGGGTGAGAGTTCACGCTACGCGTTTCGTACCTATTTGAATAACAAACCACAAGCGCATACCCTCACGTCGGCAATCTATCATCTGTTGGCAAAACCGGAGATCTTACAGAAGGTCAAGGACGAGCTTGCCGCGGTGGTGAGTGATGGGCGTCGGATTCCAACATTTCAAGAGCTCGACAGACTCCGGTACCTGACTGCGGTGATCAACGAAGTCATTCGCTTACATCCTGGCGCAATGCACCGCCAAGTACGCGTCTGCCCCAATGACGCCATCATATACATAGACAGGGCACGAGGTGTAGAGCACGTCGTTCCGCCCGGGACGGTTTATGCCATATCCCCTCTAACTAGCCATATGAACGGAAATGTATTCAAAGACCCATACGAGTTCATCCCTGAGCGGTGGATCGACAATCCTGAGATTTCGAAAGCCTTTATGGGCTTCTCTCGAGGCACGAGAGCATGTGTAGGGTAAGCAGACTTTCGACCGACTACTCAACGGCAAGTCGCTGACCTATGGGCTTGAAATATCTAGAATAACACTCGCTCGGCGTGAGTTGGCAGCTACTTTAGCGACGATATTCATCAAGTATGACCTGTACCGCGGTCAGCAAGGCCCAACTCTGGAGCTCTACGATACAATCCGCGCAAGGGACATTGATGCAGCCAAGGACTATATCACCCCGCTGCCTGCCAAGGGAAGTTTTGGACTACGCGTGAGGGTCCGCAACTAAAATACCATCTTCAGCTTGTATACAAGGTTGATAAGCAAGACCCCAGCCCAATATGTCGGTAGGGAGGTGCTCAAGGCCAAAAGGTGCCGTTTATGGTCTTGCTGTAGATAATCAGCTAAACAGTGGCTAAAGATCACATCCGATAGTCTCCAAAAGGTGCCCTGCGCTGTCTATTCTGCTCTAACATAGCTTCGTGTGTGTGTATAACCGCCATCATGTCAATCCAAATAGTCCGATTTCACAAGAACGCTACTAGCACCGCTGAGACATTGGACTGCTTCTGCTACCATCTCTTCGACTATGTCAGCCGCAGATTGCTGCCCATTGTTAATCAGGCCGCACGCAATGCTCATTGGTCTGTTGTTAAGAGGATTGTTGCGGTTAGCTAGACTGTAAGGTTTGGGTGAGAAAAATTGGTTGCTACGCACCTCATCGCCGACTGCTTCATGATCTCTTCAGGGAGACCGCCAGCTCCGCGAATCTTCTCGATCTCATGGTCCATAGGTATGATACCTTTGGACAGCAGCTCTTCGAGCTCATACCTACGATTACATTCCCAGTTTCGGATGTAAGGGGTAGCAGCGGCGCGTAATGGTCTTCCAGTCCAAATGGTTGATTTAATGGTACTATCAAAGCCTGCGTCGATAATCCTGTCGTCCAAGGTCATTGTCATTATAGATCATGATGAAGTAAAGCACCACCAGATAAGGGGCAACCTACACTCGCTTTGATTCTTCAAGAGCACTCGACTCCTTGGCAGTGACAAACCTCGTACCGACCCAGACGGCAGAAGCTCCATACATGAAGGATGCGGCAACTCCTCGGCCATCGCAAATGCCTCCAGCAGCAACGAGCTGTACTGGCTGCCCAGTCAAAGGAGACTTGTACTTTTTCACCAGATCAGCGCAAGCAGGCACCAAGACACTGCAAATATATATTCTCAGTCTCAGTGTTGCAATGGTTAAATATTACTTGCCGCCAGGTCTCCCGCCTTCCTTGATCCTCTGGCTCTTGGAAATGGAGATGATGACGATGATAGACGCACCTAGTCGGGATCTCGCCAGTATGGCCACCGGCTTCTGAACCCTGGGCACAGATGATGTCGGCACCAGCGGCACATGCTTTGGCGACATGTTTCGGGTGACCAACTAGATTCATGTAAAAGATGCCATTGGCGCGAAGCTTATCAACGACATTTACGGGAGCAACACCGACTGCTGAAACAAATAGCTTGGCGCCGCTGCAAGCAATGATATCAATGAGCTCGTCCAGTTTGCCTCCGGTGTAGTCCCTCTGCAAGGAAGTTAGAGCACTGAGAAATGTTTCATCCAGTCCTGAGTCATCTAGGGGAGCCTCTAACATTTGTCTTTCGCGCTGAGCCGCCAACTTGGGGCAAAAGAAGGCTCACGCCGAATGGAAGTGATGAGTCTTTGAGTCGAATCTGCCGAAATATGATATGTAAGAAAGGTGTTCTGCTCTAATCATGATCGGCTTCGATTCAGTTTGAACCGATGTCGAATAATCTGTTTTACCTTCACTTCTCGAATGGTTATTCTCAGCTCATCTGGCGTGAAGTAGAGTCCACCGATGACACCAAGACCGCCTATTACTCCTGGCTTAATAACAATAGCAACTAGGGATTTGATGAAACTCACCAGCATTGCTCACAGCAGCCACAAGCTCTGGTCCACCAGCAATATACATGCCAGCGGAAATCACCGGATGCTTCATGCCGAGCAATCGAGTCAAAGGCGTTGATAATGACATTTCGGGAGGCGTTATGTGATGTGTCGTGCCTGTAAGATAATGCGTAAAGACAACAACTGCCGGAGACTGCAAAGTAGGAGAAACACTACGCTGCCGAGCAGTGTTTCGGGCTAGGGAAGGCCGTACAATATGATGGAGCGCTATGCCACCCACGTTCTGTGTAAAATGTATGCTAGCTATGTATTTCTTGCCTGGATATCGTGTCTGTGGTGTCATCACTTCCAGTAAGCAACAACACTGGAATATAAGCATAATCTTATTACAAGTCCCATTCTGGGCTCGACCGTCAGCGTCTGAAGAAAATATCACAGAATTTATTCCAGTGAAGTTATTAAGACAGTGTAATTTTCATCCTTCCAATTCCCACATCCTATTCCAACTGTTTCAGTCGGAGTCATGGCGCAGCTGTCCGTCTTGCTCGAACACGCCCGCCAGTACTCACCAGTCACCCTCTCTGCAACTTGTATACTGGTTGTAACCATAGGTTTCTTACTCAGCTTGTATCGTCTAGCTCTTCCCAAGCCAATACCAGGCATTCCCTACAACAAAGGCTCTGCTTCGAAACTATTCGGCGACGGCCAAGCGTATCTCAAGCATTGCAAAGAATATGGAGGAACCTTCGCCACTTACTGCCAATCAGTAGCCAAATCTTTGGACGCACCACTCGTGCAGATCTTTATCCAGCCTTTCAAACAACCACTTCTGGTCCTTGCAGATTTCCGAGAAACCGAAGCCTTGATGCGCCGCAAGGACTTTGATCGCTCCGACGACATGGGCGATATGATCCTGGGTTTGATGCCGCAGCACCATCTCAGGATGAAGACCGATGCAGCGTGGAAAGCTCAACGTCTACTCACCAAGGGCCTCATGCTCCCCTCGTGGCTGCACGGCGTTGCAGCTCCTGAGATATGTCAGCATGCGCTCTCAATGATTGAGTTATGGGACTTCAAAGCCAGACTTGCCAATGGAAGGCCTTTCGAGGCCTCGGAAGATCTACGTCGCATGGCAATGGATGCTGTAATGTCTTTTTGTTTCGGACAGAGGTTCCAAGATATGGCAACCAGACCTGCTATCGAAGCATTGCAGCTCAAAAACTTGGGCCTGGCTAAACTAGACGAGTCCGAACAACCAGTCAAGTTTCCCACAACGACACTTGGCCCTTTGCTCAGTGCACTCGACACCCTCTTCGAATCAGTCGGTAAGATTCGAGGAAGTCCGAAGCCAAGCTTGACTTGGGCTTATATCTTGCGAAGGCCACGCTATGCCCATGCACTCCGACTGAAAAACGCATACATCTCTGCGGAGCTACAGCATGCAGTTGAACAACTACAGGAGAGCAAAGGGGACGATACGGAAAAGTCGGCCGTCCATCATATGGTCCTGCGCGAGAAAAGTCTTGCGGAAAAGGAGAAGCGCGAGCCTCAATACCTATCTCGAGTCATGATGGATGAAGTAAGTGGTCTCTTGATATATTCCATGGTTTGAATTTTGGATACTGACGGTTTATTCCAGCTGTACGGGTTTATATTCGCAGGAATGGATACAACTAGCACAGCAATGTCTTGGGGTGTCAAGTTCCTGGCTGACAGCCCCCGAGTTACAACATGTTTACGGGCAGCACTACGAGCGTCATTTGCAGCCGCAGTCTCAGAGGATCGAAACCCAACCGTTGAAGAGATTGTCGGAACACATGTACCCTACCTTGAAGCCACTCTTGAAGAGATCCATCGGTGCGGCGGCACAACTCCAATTGTCGATCGCCAAGCTGTCGTCGACACGCAGCTTCTTGGCCATCATATCCCCAAAAATACCAATGTTGCATGTTTGACAATGGGACCAAGCATGATGGAGCCCGGCTTCGATGTTGATGAGACATGTCGTCATGAGATGAGCCGCGGCACAGAGGGAGAAAAGACGAAACACTGGGATGTCAATGATATGGCTTTCTTCAAACCTGAACGCTGGATCAAGGATGACAGGTTCAATCCCGGAGCAGGGCCACAGCTGGCCTTCGGTCTGGGTCTCCGAGCCTGCTGCGGAAAGCGACTGGCGTATCTGAACATGAGGGTATTGTTTGCACTGCTCGTGTGGAACTTTGAGCTTCTGCCTTGTCCGAAGAGCTTGTCAGATTACAGCTCCAAATTGATAGTGACAAACAGGCCGAACACGTGCTACGTACGCTTACAGAAGATCAGTTCCAGTAATTGAAATATCTTCCTAGCTTTCTATTAGCAATTTAAAATTTTGTACATGTGCCTAATGAAGCAAATACTTTGACTGTGTCCCATTACTTTTGCATTTGCAGCATTTGTGGTAGTAGGCATGCTCCCTTGTCTACAAACTCTTTGCAAATCCAACTATTTCACGCATACCAGCACTATAGAGCTCAGGAAGCGCCCGTCTAAACAAGACCATACTTCCATGCGTCACGCCTAGATTCACGCTCCCAACAGCGTCCACTCCGGCCGTACACAGCTTTCGATAATACGCAATGCCCTCATCCCTCAGCGGATCTAGCTCATCAACTTTGATGATATGTGGTGGCAACCCTTGACACATCTCAACGGTCGCATAATATGGAGACGCCAACGGATTGGTCCGGTCCTGGACATTTGGTGAGTAATAGCTTTGCATAGCGCCAGCACCTGTGGTATCGAGCATATATCCGTCGTTTGCAAGCCGACTCGGGAATTCTCTTGCAATTCTTTCTGCAGACCAGCCATAAACATTGCAGACATTTGGAGAGTAGGCATAGATACCACTTATGTCCTTGATCCAGCCTTCCTGGTTTGCTTTCAACGCTGTTGCGAGGCAAAGATTTCCGCCGCCGCTTTCGCCCTGCAAGATAATGTTGCTTACGCCAAGCTCATCCTTGTGCGATGCGATGTACTTGACGCCTTCTGCGCAATCGTTCAACCCAGCCGGGAAGGGATTGTACTCATGTTCTGACCAGGCATTCCTGAAATCGATGGCGATGGATACAACGCCGCGCTGGGCCAAATCAGTAAGCCAGCGAACATTACCAGGTCGCAAAGTATCGAGAGTCGTCATGCCTCCGCCATGTACTATCATAAAAATCAGTTGTGGACTTTCTTAAAGTGGTTTCGGCTATACGAACTGTAAACAACACACGGCAGAACCTGGCCCTTCGTCCCAGATTTCCGAAACACATACAAGTTGACATCGTTCCCATCTACCGCTTTTGCAACAAAGGTTTCCCGATCGACTGGAGGCTCATTAACGTCCTGTGGTAGGTCGTTTGGTATCGCAGCGAAGCCTTCTGTAAAGCCGTAGTGCTGGCTTCGCATTTCCCTCGTCAGTTGCTCGAATGGCGAGTTCTCGTCTGCGATGCCCATTGGAAGGTTGCTGTCCCATCCTTGTGTCGCTAGGGCTTTCACCAACTTGGGATTGAAGCGTGAGTCTGTCCTAGGTGAGAGTGTTGCGTCTCCGATTCGGCCTTCCGGCGTGAAGGAGTATGGAGCTGCCATACTGCTACTTGGCGGATCGACCGTTGTGACCTCGATTGTGATTTTTACTTTGTGAGGAAAAGTGAAGAAGCGCAATTCAATCATGGCCAGAACCCGTTGCCAACTTGGTAAGCGTTTGGGCGGATGCTTACAGGAAGCATGATTGCTTATGGAGCTTACATGTATGATATGTTCTGCTTCCATGTGTAATTATCATATCAGAGAACTTATACCACTGTACTAAAATAACGTCATGACAGTCACTCTTTCAGGGTAATAGTATTTCAGTAACTCTTACACTTTGACAGAGGTCAATAAACATCTCAAGCAAGTCATTGATACTAATCTTGAGAAAAAGAAGCTCATGATTACCGTGCTGATGCCATCAGACCTCAACATCTAATAATCATCATACAGCATATTGCAGTTTAATTCACGCCTACGAAACATTGTAACTGATAATATATGTTGCTATATGTCTGTCAACAAAATGCAACACGTCGAGCCTCAATATGAACTGATGACGAATGATGTTTAGTACACCCATTCCGCTGGATCACCATCATCATGTCTGTACCACTCATGCTCGCTTGCAATACACTCCAGCATGCTCTTGCTACATGGGTATTTGGATTTACCGCCGCGGATTCCATCGCTCGCCCAGCTTTACTCCCTTTACTCTTTTTACTTACTCTCCGTACCCTTCCTCTGAATGATGCAATCCCACACCCTGTTGTCCACGGATTGGTCAATTTCAATACAGTTGGCGTCTTCTTCCAATATCTAGACTGTGCCTGCATCAGTCGGTGGTCGTACTCGGCCGGTGGGCCAACTTCCGGCAGAGGAGGACAACGCAATCTAAGATCGGAACCTAAGCAGGACAACACACGCAGAACCACAGCGAGCTGGGGGGATGTGTTGGCGCGATTACGATTTGGTACTTCACTTGTCACCACTTGGCGAGCAGCGGGTACCTCCTGGGAGGTCAGAGGCACTCCATGGTTCGAACAAGTGCCGAGCCGTGGACGCTTTCTTATCGAGACTGTGCTCTATTTGGCATTTGATCTACTCATTCTCGACGCCTTGAGTCTGCTCAAAGGAGGTGGAGTAGAAGAAAATGCGTTAAACTTCGCATGGGACAGGGTTCGGCTTTTGTCACGGTTGCAGCAAATATCAGGTGATGAGATCATCCTTAGGCTCAAGGCCCTCTTGGGGTTCTGGTTAGGAACGTACTACTCCATTCGAGCCATGCACCGGATTCTGGCCATCGTGGGCGTAATGACAGGCACTAAAGATGTTCATCGCTGGCCAGCTATATTCGGACCTTTAAGCCAAACATATACATTACGCCGGTTCTGGGGGTGAGTTGTTGTTTCCAGTGCGAGAGTTGAAACGTTGCTGAATCGAGAATACTAATATGTAACAGTATCTTCTGGCATCAGACCTTGCGTCAGAAAAGCGGAAGCCCAGCCTACTACATCACCTACTCAGTCCTCGGGTTGAGCAAAAGAACAACAATCGCGCGTTATCTTCACCTCTTGCTGACATTCATTACGTCTGCGGTTATACACCTTCTCGCGGAAGAGTATCCTTGGGGCATTGACTGGGATCGTAGCGGCACAATGAGGTTCTTCGTGACCCAGGCTTTCGGGATTCTCTTGGAGGATCTCGTGCAGACTGCCTTTGCCTTGGGCGGCTCGCACGAACCCCGTTCGCGCTGGTGGTCTAAAGCAGTGGGATGGGTTTGGGTTGCCCTCTTCACATTCTGGTCTTCGCCGTCGCACTTTTATCCTCGCCTCCAGGTTCTCGACAGCAGTAACGGAGGTGTTCCACCCATCAGCGTTTTAAGGCCTTTGATAGACCGCTTAGCAACACACTCTGCAAAGTAACTGCACAATATATATCTTATTTGCTTTATTTTGCTTGTGTATCTTATATATTTTGTACCTCAGCTGAGTCCCACCATGCGTCAATTCACATGATGTGTTGTCTCTACTTGGCCATCGTCTTCAAGATGCTGGAACTTGAAAAGAAGAAACCGGGAATGTTCCATAGTATTCTTTTCCTGGACATAATCACTGTTACCCTCAACAGCAGAGTCTCACTATGCTACGCTACTTGTCTTAACACTGATTCCACCTGATCAAACTTTGTCGTTTTCTTCACCACTCCATCCATCGCTCCGAATGGAAGCCAAGAGGCGATCTTGGCCAATATTACATAGTGCCCTCTGAAAATAAGAGGCGGCGGCCGCGCGCTCTTCAGCAAGTCCCGTGTCACAAGCTTCGCCCACTCCGCCGGCGGCATGCCTGTGCCCTTAAAGTTGTCTTGCCTTAGAATCGGTTCGAGCAGGTCTCGCACCGGCTGGTAAGGTGAGCTCGCAGGCAATATGGAACGATCCGAATCCGAGTTTGACGACGCGGTCCTGGTGTAGTTGTTGTTGATGAGGTTGGTTGGTCCAACTGTCCCGGTCTTCAGATCGATGACTTGGACCCCGAAGCATTCGACTTCCATTCGTAGGATGGCAGAGTACATGGCCAGAGCGGATTTCGAGGCGGCGTATGCTGCTCCGCCAGGGACAGGCAGTACGGAAGCAATTGATGTATGGTTGACGATCATGCCCTTGGATTTGATGAGCAGCGGCAAGAATGCCTGGCACATCTGTACTGTGCCCCAAAGATTGGTGTCGAACACTTTTTTGGCTTCTTGTACGGATACGTCTGCTGCTGTCATTGTCAACATGACCGCTGCGTTGTTGACCAAGATGTCCAGATGCTGCAGCTTGCTGACACAGCTTGCTATCGATGACGATGATGTGATATCTAGCGCGATTGTCTCGATACCTGATGCCGAGAGCTTTTGCATTTTGGAAACGTCCCGAGCTGTGGCATACACGTGCAGACCGGCCTCGTGAAAAGCAGTTGCGAGGGCAGCGCCCAGGCCGCCATCTGAGCATCCGGTGATCAGAACGCTTTTGCGGCCTTCATGATCTCGTCCGGAAGATGTGAATTGACCCATTGGACTGCAAGGGAGAGTATCTATTAAACTATTCAATAATTGATGATGAGCACAGGGCACTCTGCCTGTCATAAAAGTGCACCTCTATATATTATAACAACTACTCTGTAATCTAAGTATTATCTGGAATATGATTATGATTAGCTAATGCGACCCTTTTTCCACACTACATAATTTGCTCATATGGCAATAAATTCATATTATATAGGCTTTGCTTACCCTAAATCTAATCATGCCACACCCCACTTTTTTGGATTCAAGATAATAGCTTAATTAGCCTCTTTGTGTAACGCGTGTGCCCTTTACGTCTGAAATTACTAATAAATCTAATAGTCTTTCACGACGCCATAGTCGTGCCTTTTTCACAGCTTCCAAAAATACCCTTTTTGCGTAATTACGTGCCTTTTTATCTGCAGCTTGGATAACAGCTCTTGCTCATTGAACATGATCAATAATCTTCTGCTGCACCATTTTCTGTGCGTCGGCCACAGGAACGATGCCGCCGGTTTTCAAGGGCCGATTTTTTGAAGCCCTATGTTGTTGAGATATCGATTCTGCCTTCTTTGTACGACTAAGGTCTCTTTTCGTCTGTATGAGCTCTGTAGCTGCAATAAGAGGTCCACGAATAAATCGGTCAACATTATAGCTAAATTCCGGATCAAGGCTGTCATCTTGTTTCAATGTAATATTAAGCTTATGAGTCCAAAAAAAGTGGGGTGTGGCACGATTATTGCCATCATCTTACATGTAATGAGTGCGTACAATTTGGTTATATAGTATGTTTATTATATGCGCGCGCTGTCATAGGACTACAAGCACCGTAGTAGTCCCTTCGTTACGAGTCTGGCTAACTTGCATTAATTGATATTGCCAGGACAGTCATTTTGAAACCGTCGCATTCATCATGTCTTTAGATGCATACGCTATCTTGGATGCCTTCTCCGATATTAAAGGTCGCACCGATGAGTTTATTGTTACCAACAATCTTGACACCTACTCTGCTGAGTTCCTCCCGAGGTCCGAGGAGATCGCGATTGCAATCTTTTGCAATGCCTTTGAAGAGCTGGGCTGTTCAATCCGATCGGCAACATCTGGATCGAAGCTTGAACGTGTCCAGCCTGTCGCAGAGCACAAGAAGCTGGTAGACCATATATATCGCATCTTGGAGAATAGAGCTGGATTGATCGCAGACGACGGCAAGCTCGTCACTCGCACCTCTAGGCCCTGTCCTGACAGAAACATCGATTCCCAATTGGAAAGTCTCCTACGTGATAGAGCTGCCCAGGATGCGGAGATCAAGCTCATGCGAGCAGTTGGGGGTAGCTACGGCAACTGTCTCGCCGGAAAGGTCGATGCGGTGCAGCTGCTCTTTCAGTCCGCCGAAAGCCGGTTGCTCCTAGATAAGCTCTATGCTACTTCCGACGCGACAAGCAGCCTCCTGCAGCCGCTAAAAGCTTTCATCGAAGAGGTAGCCAGCGGCTGGTCGGCTTCAGGCGAGCCTTTGCGAGTCCTTGAAATCGGAGCTGGAACAGGAGGAACCACCTCGGTACTGTTACCGGCTCTGGCTCGGCTTGGCGTTCCCACGGTTTACACCATGACAGATATCAGTCCGAGCTTGGTGACACAAGCTTCCTCAACTTTCAAGCAATACCCGTTCCTGGAATACAAAGTCGTCGATATCGAGAGAGAACCACCGCTGGAGCTGCAAAGCAGCCAACACATCGTCCTCGGCTCCAACGTCGTCCATGCAACAACAGACGTCCCATCCTCGTTAAAGAACATTCACAAGATGCTGCGTCCGGATGGATTCCTCATCTTTCACGAGTTGACAACGCAAATGCCATGGGCTGACGTGGTTTTCGGTCTGTTCGAAGGCTGGTGGCGATTCAACGATGGGCGGCAGCACGCTTTGCAATCACCCCAAGCTTGGGCAAACATGTTAAAGTCTGCTGGGTACGGCCACGTAGACTGGACTGATGGATCCCGCCCAGAGGCAAAGCTGCAAAGTCTAATCTTGGGGATGGCTACTGATGTAGAATAGGTTATTGTTTATGGACTTGAATCTCATCATACGTGAACCCACTAAACATGCACAATCCCTTTAAAGTACATAGTTATACACTACAAGACCACATACTAAGCAATGAAAGAATATACTACAGTATATAGATCTTGGGCGTTTATCAAGATTACAAACATAATCAATTAGAGAGCTGTAATCTATATACGAGTTGCCACTAACTCCGTATATCATCAAGTCGTATTATATTATATTAAAGTCATAACTGCTTTACTCTACTTATTTTAATTTTTTTATTGTATTTCAGTCAGTTAAGAGCTTGAAAAATGCGTGTTATTACCTACTCATGAATAATCGTGGCCAAATGTCGTGATTATGCGGTCTGGTATTATCCAGGATGTTATTGCTTTTAACCCTAGCCCGATCTTAGTTATTTGACCTTTAAATAGCTTACACCAGATAAATAATCAATGCACCTATTCGTTCCTCATAAATTATTACTGTATACGATCGTGTAGTGAGATAAATGGTCTCAGAAACACTCCTTAAAGAAGAAGCTTATCATCTTGCCTGCACAAGTAACTGTGCTTTCCCTTCAATCACTTGACATCTCTTCTCAAAGCAGGAAAATGTTTTCTTTTTACGCTGTTCTTGGAGTAGCTTGGGGGTTGTGCTCTACTGCCCTTGCCCTTGCGCCAACCCAACGCAATGCTGCCAATCCATCTTGCCGGTACCTCCCCGCCGACAAAGAATGGCCTACAAGAGCAGACTGGGACGGTTTGAATACTACAGTCGGCGGCAGGCTTCTGCGTGGAGAGCCATTGGCCCAGTCCTGCTACCGACCGCATGAGAATCCTGCAAAGTGCGCCGAGATTCGACAAGGCTGGGGTCTTGACAGTTTGTAGTAAGTACATACATACATACAGATGATTAATAGTACTACTCTGTATCTGAGGTGAAATACTTACTCCCGTTGTAGCTACGATGATCCAGTAAATTTCATGTCTCCATTCTGGCTGAACAACTCATGCAATCCTTTCTTGTCTTCTCTCAGCAATGCCTGCACCCTAGACAATGTTGCCTCGTACGCTATCAACGTCACCGATGCTGCGAGTGTCATAGCGGGAATCAAATTCGCACAGCGAAAGAATATTCGTCTGTCCATCAAGAATACCGGTCATGACTATCTTGGACGTTCCAGCGGGAAGGGTTCGTTGGCACTATGGACACGTAACCTCCGAGACATGGCAATCATCATGAACTACACAAGTTCAAAATACTCGGGTCCTGCTGTCAAGATCGGGGCTGGTATGCAGTCGCATGAGATAGTCGAGATCGCGGCAAAGCATGGCCTGCGAGTGGCAGGTGGCCTGTGCCCGACTGTGGGACTAGCAGGAGGGTTTTCCCAGAACGGAGGGTATGGCCAGCTAGCTTCACTATACGGGTTGGCTGCAGACAATGTGCTGGAATATGAAGTAGTTACGACTGACCTCAGGCATTTGATAGCCTCGCCATCAACACATGCCGACTTGTATTGGACCCTGAGCGGCGGCGGGTCGGGCAATTATGCCGTTGTTCTCAGTCAGATCGTCAAAGCACATCCGGATGGCCAGGTTACGGGCGCTACTTTTGCACTGGTGAATACGAATCCCACGGCTTTCTGGTCAGCGATCCAAACATGGTACCAGCAAAGTCCACGGTTCAATCTTATACCAGGTTTCTCGGCATCGTGGATCTTCAGCAGTGAACTCTTCAGGCTCACTGCGGCAACCTTGCCTGGCGGTACCGCGTCAGACATGGATGCAATCCTGCAAGACTTTTATCGAGTCATAAAAGAGCTCAACATGACATTTGTTGCCAAGAACACCATAGTGAAGCCATCGTTCGTTGAGCTCTACAACACGTTCGTTCCCCCCAGCCAGGCCGATGCATCATTCCCTGCAAACAACACCATTGGAAGCCGACTAGTACCTGCTGCGGTTGTTCGGGACAATTTGACGGACTTACTGGACGTGTATCGGCACATTCTTCAAGACGAAACAGTGCCTGGTGGTGTGACTGTGGTCGGTGGCACAAGCAACAACGTATCCCATGTCAATATTGGTGTTGCTCCGGGCTCGAACGCGGTGCTCCCTGCCTGGCGAGACGCTCTCTTTACTTCAAGTGCTGGCGTCTCATTCCCGGACAACACAACTGTCCAAGGTCTACAACTCATTCAGGCCAAGGTAAATACGTGGCAAGACTGGGTCAAAGCACTGACCCCAGGAAGTGGCTCTTACATTAACGAAGCGACATATGACAATCCTGACTGGAAGTCAGATTACTATGGTAACAACTATGAAAGGCTTCTTCAAGTCAAGAAGAAGTATGACGGAAACTTCACGCTCTGGCAGCATACATCGGTGGGAGCGGATGTTTACTGGCAGGAAGACGCAGAAGGCCGATTATGTAGGGTGTAAAAGTTGAGAGGACGGCTCTCTTCGTAATGCTATATCTTATATAGAAGCTATGTGATTATCATAATAAATACTGAGGCGTCCAAATGTCAAATGCTCATCAGTCATGCATGCCTAGTCGCACTTGCCCAGGAATAACATCAGTGGAATATAGCTCTGGTCCAGCGACGTCATACTTCTCCATGCGAATGATATCATCCGCAATTTTCTCTGCGAGTCCATCTAAGTACCTCGGAAAGCTTATTAGCGATTGATATCTCCTCCTCTCAAGAGTCTGTCTGATACTTACAAATCGTTCCCTGGATGTGGCTTGGTAGAAGTATCGGTAACGAGGATGCGTCAACAACGCGAACATTTTTGACACCAAATACTCGAGCTTTGGAGTCGATCACGGCCATCGGATCACTTTTTCGACCCATCTTGGCTGTCCCCGAAGCTTGAAAAAGCGGGTTGGCGTATGTCCGTACAAATGCCAGGACCTGAGAGTCGGTCTCCAATGCAGAGGCAGGTGGAAAGGCTTCATGACCGACCAACACAGGTGCAAGAAACGTGCTGTTCAAGATGTCTTGCAAACGTCTGAAAGCTTGGAGGGCGATTTCGGGGTCGCGGGGGTCACTCATCCAAGCTGGGTTGACAATAGGATTGTCTTGTGCTCTGTCGGACATGATGGAAACATTGCCACGGGAGAATGGGGAAACAAGCGCGACTGCCAAAGTTGCCCAATTATGCCCATCTGGGCTCCCAAGAAAGCCCGAATGAGGGCCACCGTATGCTGAGAAGGCAACGAACTCCAACTCGGGCCTATCAGCGTCGAGATTATCAAGGGAGTTGCGTGCGGATCTTTCTAGCTTCCGCCGGTATCTCTGGGGCAACTTCTCGAATGCAAGCAGATCAGCTGCGTACGTAGTGTACGCGCCTCTGGGCGGGCTTGATTCATAGTCCTTTAGAGCTTGTGCGGCTGCATCTGCGTTCCATTGAAGCTCGGCAGTGGTAGGGACGCTGACCCTCCTACTGATTCCAGCACACACATGGTCACCCAGATTCTGACCCACGCCGGCAAGATCAGAAATAACGTTGATTCCATGTCGCTCAAGTGTCGCTTTCGGGCCAATTCCGGAAAGCATGAGGAGCTGCGGAGAGCGAAAAGCACCGGCCGACACAATGACCTCTTTCCTGCAAGATAACTTGAGTAGCAGACCGCCACGGTCAAATTCGACACCGTTCGCCGTCTTGGAAGCGTCGAATAGAATCCGGGTCGCCAGGGCGTTGGTGTAAACAACAAGATTTCCGTTGTTTATACCCAATCTGTTGAGATAGCTACTGTCTGACGTCTCTTTGGTGAAAGAAGTGGCATCAAGTGTTAAAAGCTGATGGGCGACGCCGTGAAGCGAGCCACCGACGAAGCCATCGAGATTTTCTTCGAAACCTAGTCCAACGAGGGCCTTCTTGATCCAAGTCGCCCACGGCCACACGTAATTGCTGAATGTGATTTGCAGCGGGCCTGAGGTATGGTTCTTCCAATGAGGCGGAGACCTTGCAGTGCTATTTGAGAAGCGGTATGACAAGGATGGAACGGTGAAGTTGATGGGTTTGGTTAGGTAAGGAGTAATGCTTTCCCAAGTGTACGATTGGTCGTCTACGGCATCTGCCCACTCCTGGTAACTGCTCTTGGGGGCGAACGTGAAGGCTTGATGGCTCCGGGTGGATGTCCCTCCAACCGCCTTTCCCTGTGGGTAGAGTCGATTCAAACCGGCTTGCGGAGTGGTAGTCAAATTCCAGTCGACTATTGGATTTATTACAGAACCTGGATACGTGTGCTGAAAGGCAGAAGCATACAATGGCACTTGGCTGAAATTGCCGTTTCCCAGGTGGTGAAGAGAACCGGCTTCTATCAAAGCGACGGTACTACCTGCCTCAGCAAGGCGAACTGCCACGGGGATTCCAGCCGTGCCGGCTCCAATAACAATGTAATCAAAAGCCATTGATGCGCTGACGTTGAAGATGTCAAAAGTTGGCTGTCCGAAAGACGAGCCAACTAGCCTTGACGAGGCATGAGGCATGCATGAAAATAGAATGACCAAATGCGCTAGCGCTGCCTTCATGACAAGTGTGCTCATGTTCTTTTGCTAAAGGCTAACATCAATAATGGAATTGTCAAGAGACAGATACCTTCAAGACTAAAGGATAGGTTAATCCAGCAGAGTTGTCAACAAAAATGCAGTAAACATAATTTTAGAAACATTCACGATAATGATGATCAAAATAATAATAATACTCATGAGGTAAGAATTATTTATCATAACACACTTCATGTGTGTGTTTTCTGTGGAGCTGTGCTTGGCTGTGCTTTGAGTCCTAAGGTTATTATGCTTATTATAAGCTAACAGATAGTTATCCTAACATGCAGTCAGTTATCAAATTAATTCTAATTACCGATTGATGCTGATAGATTATCAGTCCAAGTAAGATCCTAATCAATCAATCAGTAATCAGTAAAAATATGGAGTATAAAGTAATCATGCATTATTAAGGATTACTTATTTCACTGCACGTCTTATCTTTCCCCTAAGGTAGACTATAGAATCTAGAATTTATAAGTTAAATCCAGTATAATGGTTATTTTTATCCTTACAACACACAGTGGGACCTATATAACAAAGACAATAGTATATTCTAGCTATAAGATTCAGACACTAAGATCTAACATTAGGCTTACCTACTGTTATATATATTACTCCTCCGTAGCATCATTAGCGTATTGCTGGGCAAATACAGAATTCTGTATTCTATTATACCTAGGCAATTTTTGGCCTGGTGTGTCGGGTGCTTGTCTATGCATATTTAGATAGGAAATAGATGCCAGTTCCTAGAAACATCGGGAATCGTTATATCTCAATTCGTTCCATCTAACAGTGTTCAAGTCATTGCACCTCCGCCCCAGACTCTAGCAGGGCCTCCACTGCTGCATCAAAACCTGCATCAATGGCAATCAGGAGGGGTGTTCTTCCGTCTTTGGTGCATTCATTAATCAACTTGCTGTCCCCAGCACAATGTCTGAGGAGTCTTTTAAGTAATCGATCCTGGCGATGTATTACCGCCCAATGCAGGGCTGAGCGATGCTGGTGGTCCACATATTCAATTCCAGCCCCGTGCGATAGCAACAGATCGACAACCTCTTCGAATCCAGCAATAGTGGCATTGATCAACGGTGTCCTGCCTTCGGAGTCCTTCTCATTGTAATCTGCATGATGTTCAAGCAATAGCCTAACAATCTTGCCGTGGCCCATTTGTACTGCCCGCTGCAGTGGACTAGTATTCCCCCTTCTAGTTGTATCACCCCCAAGATTACAATGTATTGCCTCACCACCACTGCTATCGTCTGAAAGAACAGCTGATTGGCTGTATTGGGAGGACTTGGGGAGTTGCGCGGCTGAGTCTGATGCGGGCGGGGTGAGTTGTACGGTAGGGTCCACGGTGTCGAGGTCTGAAGCAAAGAGAGTGTTGGTTGCACTGAAGTCAAATGAATCCAGGAACATGGCCGTGTGAACAGCGTCGATGCTCGGATCACAACCCTGTGTAGGGGGGCTGATGGAAGTCATCCGGGATACAGCAGGTGTATTAGGCAGGCTGTCGTTGGTGATTTGAGTCTCTGAACACGGGAGAGGGTTCAGGCTCGGAGTCCGCACACGCTCAGGTCCTATTATCTTCTGTTGATAGTGCTTTTCTATTGTGGAGTATCAAGAAGTCAGTGTGGGTTTGCAATGCCCAAAGAGCACTCGGAAGGATGAGTTGTGGATCTCACGTACGTCGAAATCGACGCTGAGCCAGCCGGTTTTGCTCGCGACGACGCTCCTTCGCCTCAGTAGAGTTGGAAGATTTCGGCGCCATGGGCTACTAAGCGTGTATGGCAATCTCTGCAGAGAGCTTTTGGGGACTTTCCGGCGCATGGGAGCCATATGAGGTAGGGGTATCCTGTCATTAAATTGGACTGACCGACGGCTCTCCCTATATCGGAGTGTTCTATTCGTCCTCACTTGAGGCAGGACAAGTATTTTCATTGGATGGACGAATCTTACTCACAGAGAAGGTCCTCGCTAATTTATGCAGGTGAGACGAAAGGATTGGCATCCATTGCGCTGATATGACTTTCGAGGCTGATAGGTAGATCATCTGTGAGGCCATTCAATATTATTGGTGCTATCTTGATTAGACTTCTAAGCGTGAGGACAGGAAAGTAGGAACGTGGGTGGGGGCACGCGGGCCGCTTACAGAAGTACGGAGTATCCCTAGCCTCGCAGGCCGTCACATCATCTACCACTAACTACCTCCCCGCTTGGTCACATCATAGCCCTGGTCCGATTAGAACCATCGCTAACCAAATACTGAAAAAGGGCGCATATCACTGCTCAGATAGGAAGGAGGTAACACGTAAGCTAATGAGAAGACCGCCCTGAAGGGATAGCAAGAAACTGAAAGAGATGAATTGAATACCGTCCTCTGTGTCCTACCATGATGGTCAGGTCGGCCTTATGTACTAACTAACTAAGCTAACTGACGACATGCATACTGGCGGTGATGGTGGGAGCGATAGAGTCTGATAGGAATGGGGGGGTCACCCCATTTCAATACATGTTATTATAAATAAACATCTTTTGAACCGCCAACCACCAACCACCACTACTATACCTTTACCTATCAAATGCTTAATCAAATGCTTAATTAATATATTTTAATAGTAATGAGAATGAAAGCACTTACTCAGAACTTTAATAGCCTGCTTACTAGACCTATGTAAAGGAATACAATGCTTGTATGCTACTTAAAGGGGTTCTAGGCCTTGAAAGGCATGTGGTTGGTGTAACTTCTACTGAGGTAGGGCGCGGAAAAATTCCTACCGAACAGAAAACTACGGACGCCAAGTCCATTACCCCGCCCAAGCGACCCCACATCTGTTCCAAAAATATATATATTTTGGAACACCTAGCGGTTGGGGGTGAGGGGGGTGAGGCTCATGTTGATCGTGCACGCACCAATTTAGATAAGAACAGGGCACCTCATACAAAACCACTCAAGCAAGCCAGCCAATCACAGATCTCTAAAAACCAACAAGACCAACAGCCGTCTGGGTGATCAGCCAAGGCGCCGTCGATCCTTTGCGCTGCAACTACCTAGGTTCAAATTCTCCATCTAATACCAAGTGTATGTTGTTGATTGGTTAATGAAATAAATCGTTATAATTGGTCGTTAGATTCATAATTGATTCTCCTTGCTGTTTTAAGCTTTACAAGCCACTGCTGAGAGCAGGCTCCCCACCAAATCGCTTAGCTGTTTCGACTGTACGTAGGATGACACCAATCTCACAACACGTACTTCGATGCTTTCTATTTAGCTATGATGTGGACATTGTCTGACTCGAGCATTAATGGTCTTCTTTCCACGGCGGGCTTCAATGTCGGAAACATTTGAGTGCTGCGAGAATATAGCGTCGACCTCTTCTAGAGTTTTGCCTTTGGTCTCAACCCAAAAAAATACCTGCAACAACATCATTAACCGCTGTAAGCTGGCGAGTGTTCTTTGACCTACCACAATTAAAAGCACGATGACGTCCCAGCTTCCGTTGATGATGTACATCTTCCAACCAATATTCTCCAAGGCGATTGGCATGATAAACACCAGTAAGAGTCTGCTCTTTTGTTTAGTACCACGCGCGCCAGACATGGGAAAAGACACACCTACGTTAGGCTGCTAAGCATAAATGAAGAGAAAGCCACGCCGTTAGCTCTAATACTATAATTCATGACCTCAGTCGGATAGAGATAGATGAGCGGTGTCCAGGCCAGGGAGTAGAAACCCTGAAAGAGGAAAATCACTGCCACATTGCCATATAAAAGGCTTTTAGACGTGCCATTGGGACCATTGTCAGCGTACACCTTAGTTAGACCCCCGATAATAAAAAGGCAGGCGATAAGCAGGCTCTGGCCAACAAGAGCTGTTGGACGCCGACCCCAAGAAGTGACTAGAAATGTGCCCAACAGGCAACAAAGCAGACACCAAGCGTTTAGAACAAGGTTGATATGCAGCTGGGCGCGACTGTCGGTGAGTCCAGCAATGCTGAGCTCCGGCCCCAGATAGAAAAGACTGATGAGATTCCCAACCACAGTGGACAGGGGTCCAACAGAAGTTCCGATAAGGAACCTCCTCCGCAGAATCGGGTCCTTGACAATCTCTACGATGGAGCTCTTGCATTCCTTGTCCGATTTCAGGGCATCCGCAATCTCTTCGTAGATTGTGAGCACAACCGGATCGGATATATTGCCGTTGGCATTCGTTTGGGCGACGGCGAGGCGAGCCTCGTCGAAGTAGCCCTGGTACTGAAGCCAACGCGGACTTTCCGGGACAAACGGCAAGATGAGAATGCAAAGCAGAGAGAAGAGGCCTTGGATGAGCGACGGCGCTCGCCAAGCCCAAGAAGTGGTCCAAGTGCCAGTCCCGAGAGTGATTCCGGCCGCCAGGATTGCACCAATCCAATAAAAGTCGTTGAGGGATCCCACCCCCCATGCTCGGAACCGACTAGGGAAGCTCTCCGAGAGGTACACGCCGCCAGCAATCCCAGAAGCAGATGCCCCGAGGCCGATGATAATGCGACCAACGACGAACATGGCAATATTTTGAGCGGCTGTTTGCATCACAACCCCAAGTATGGCAGCCAGGCTGCTCCAGAAGATAGCTAGTCTTCTCCCGAGCCTGTCCGCTATCATAACTGCGAACATAGGTCCAAGAATGCCGCCGATGAAGATGGAAGCGGTGTTCAGGCCCGTTGTTGCTGCGCTGAGCCTAAAGTAGTCATTGTACGCAGGCAGGATGTTGAGCGCGTTGAGCAATGCAGTATCATAGCCAACCGTCTGTTAAGCTTTTTTGTTAATCTCATTCTTTATCAATGTAATTGCATACAGCAAAATTTGGTAGGGCACATACACAGGATTGCACAAACGAGCATATGATGAGGAGGAGCGACAAGACGAAAGTAGACTCTGGCACCCACGCCGGCAACCATGTCCCGGTATGTGTTTTTCGTAGCATCTTCAAGGCCACAGTTGTGTCCAGTAGCAAGGCTGAAGGAAAGAAGGAAGGAAAAAGAAAAATATTGAGGTCAAGATTTGATATTAGCTGTTAAAACCCCGTGTTCGACAAGTGCTATTGATATTAATGAGAAATGTTGGCATTACATATGTTGCGGACAGTTGCTAGCACATCCAAATACGCTTACATCTGAGTTAAGCTGGTGATTATGAAGAGATCGTTAGGAGCCATTCCCTATGGGATGAATTATAGAATCATAGCTGCTCATAGAAAGCATTTACTATAGTCTATTTGACTGTAGCTCCGCTAAGGCTACCTGTAGAGGACAGTAAAACTGGTTCATAACAAACATTGAAGCGAAAGCTGTGGATTATGATTAATTATTATTTGGTTCCTGTTGCATTCTGCTGTGTACAAACAACAACTGTATATCAGCTGGCGTAGTTATGTAGCTATTTCAGCACACTTGGCTAGAATTTTACACAGTAGAGGCCCTTTGCTGTCAGCAGCAGTAAATATTCACATGATACATCTTGTTTCAATGGATTACAAGTCGATTCAAAGGCAGTATGTTCAGGTTAGAGTAGAAAGCTGACGAAGTAGAGGTGAAGTGTTCCTCTGATTTACTTCGTTCCTGTACGAGTTGACATAACCCTCCCCTCCTCTTTTTACAGACTTCGAGAATGTTATGAGAACTAGAATCCGAAAGCTGTATTCTTGTTTCAAGCCGGATGTTCCTTTGTCTATTGTCTATTACAGGGTAGGTTTAGATTCTTTGGCTTTACGGCCCAGTTACGAGTAATCTCTGTCTATAGCTCTGCTGTTGATAATCCGCTTCCTAATTTGAGATAGAACCTCGACTGACAATTACCAATTGTTCAATGTAAGAAATGTTGCATATCTTTAAAATAAGGCTCGTTGTGTTGTAGATTACTGCTACCGGTGGTGGTGCCTAAAAGTGGTTTGCGTCTCCTAATCTTGGCTATTGAATCCCTGCAACTAGCCTATAGATGATTGTAATACATAAATAATCATTAGACTTATATTGTCAGATTGCAGGTAATCTGGTAATATGATTACGCTGGTGATCTGAGCATGCTAGGTCAAACTAGGTCATCTTCTTGCTGTGTCCAAGAATGTATGTCATAATCTATGTAAGGAGTGACATGACTAGAAGATGTCGAAGCACTGTATCTTTGGTACCAGATTGTATATTTTACACTCACTTATTTTACCTATTCTAGTTAGACTCAGTTAACCAGAATGCACACAACTTCTGGTCTTGTCACTCCTTACATAGAAAATCACATACATTCATGGACACAGCATGAATATGTCCTAGTTTAACCTCTACATGCTTAGATTACCAGCATAATCATATTATGATATTACCTGCAATCCATCAGTTATAAGCCTGGATATGCTTCCATTCCTTTGAGTAAGACATACCCTACGGCCTACATTTAAATCCTAGTAGCCACAGTGAGAATAGGGCTACTACATACAGAGCTAGAGCAGTACCATACAGATAATATAGAAAGAAAAACAAGCACTATAGATACTTAATTATCTACAGGTATTAAGGAGCTTACTCCCTGGGGGGCTATATTAAAGTATAGGAGTTACTGAAATACTATTACCCTAAAATAGTGACTATCATGATATTATTTTAGTATAGTAGTATAAGTTCTCTGTTAGTTATAAGCCTAGACTGCTAGAGATATCAGAATATTATTATTTTTATATGATTTAAGGGATATACTCCCTTCCCCAAGACCTTAGGTTAAATTAGAAGAAACTATATAATTAGATTAATCTAAAAGGCTGCTTCTAAGTAATAAGAGATTAATAATCTACTAAGACTACTTCTTAGTAGTAAAGAATAATCTAAGAGACTGCTTTTTAGTAGTAAGATATAAATTATAGAAGATAATACTACTATTAATAAGGTGGTGCTTATACTAATATTAAGAGAGAACTACTATATATAGCTCTAGCACCTTAAACTAGCTGCTAAATAGTATAATATCTAGAAGTATATTAATCTAGATAGTATAGCTATGCTAGCAGAAGAATAGGAGGTGTCTAAATAGAAAGAATATATTAAAGATAAGAATAGAAAGAAGACTATAACTAAGATAAATTTTAATAAGGAGAAATACCCTATAGATTAGAAACTATATCTAGAGGTAGTAAAAAGAGTTAAAAAGAATCTTAAGAAACTAGAGATATATATATTTATAGAAGAATTATTTAAAATAGATAAATTAATATTTAAAATATCTTTCTTCCCTACCTTAGGAGGTGCTATAACCTTAGGAGGTGCCTTAGGAGGTACTAAGGCCTTAGAAGATTATATATTTATAGTAATAGGTTTAAGAATACTACCCCTATTACTGTTAATAACCCCTTCCCTACCTACTCAGACCTCTAAGATATTAACCTTTAAGATAATTATTCTAGGCCCTGTAAGCATAACTAATATTATATCTTTATACCTAGTAAATACAGTATTTTCTAATATTAATCTATTTAAATCTACTATTATAGATACTAGATTAATACTATATATTTATAATAACCTAGATTAGATAATTAATATCTATAAAGTATAGCTAGGTGACTATATTAGTATTAGTAATATAAAGGTATTAGTAGAGAAATAGGGTAAGAGATAGGTATATAGTACTAAATTAGATAGAATAAGGGTATTAATACTTCTTATTTAAATAGCTTATATCTCTAGAATATATACTAATATTATCTCTCTTATATATATAAGAGAGGTAGATATTTATATTAATATAAGGCTCTTATAGCTTACTAAGAGAGATAGTTGTCACGGGCTAGAAGCCGGTCAACCTATGACCTAGGTTTGGACGGTAAGAAATCGCTAAGGGGTTCTAACTAGGGCCGCAACGGCCGAACAAGAAAAGATGTGTGCGAACTGCAGGCGAGGTCACGTGACTTGGTGACCTCGTGATATCGTTGGTGCCTAAGGCAGCTCGTGAGTGCCGATAGGCTCGAGCATACAGCGGGCCTTGCCCGCTACAATAGTAATAAATTCTATATTATAGAAATTTACTATAATCTTATGATAGTTAACTATATTCTAATAAAAGAGGCTAACTATATCTTTACTATAATTAAATATAAGTATACTAGATCTGCTATACTAAGAAGCCTTAAGAATATAGAGTAGTAGTAGTATGTCACACCCTGGGATCCGTCTCTGCTGTTCTTCTGCTAGTCAACTGCTTTGGGAAGGGGTGATATAGTCCCTGGACTATATCCGATACTTGCCTGAGGCCTACCGACCAGGTAGCCTGACGATGCAATGATACAATGACCTAACGAGGTCAAGGACAATCCAAAGGATAACACAAGAACAATAACAGTAGAGATAGAAGCAAGGCCTATTGAGTACGTATACTCAATAGTAAGAGAGTAACTGACGAATCGGACTAGTGAACTTGTACTCAAGTGAGATATTGATATTGAACGCGAGGAACTAGACTAAGAGTGCTAGATACAATGGTAATGAGTGTCCTTATATATCCATAGTTCCTCCAGTTGGTATGCGTGGTAGATGGTAGAGTGGTATAGTGGTAGATGGTTACTATACCAACATACCCTTTATGTCATATACCAATATACCATATCACGTGAGAGGCTGGAATTGACCTATCAGCCGTCATCACGAATGTATCCAATCACCTTTGTTCGTGGTTATGTCACCCGCATGTTCCTTAGAGTGATTGGATGTCCGCATTCCGTAATTCTGCCTGTCTCATCCGCCTTAGGCTAGTGCGGCTGTGTTGGTGCCGTAACATCACCTCCCCCTCTCTTAGCGTTTCGCCCTCGAAACTTCGTTCATAAAGGTCAGCCTTCCCCGAGGTGAGTGATGCCTTCGTTTCCTTGTTTCTTCGATATGTTCGCTCATCATGCCGAAACGTCGCGCTGACACGGTTCTTGAAAGTACTCCCAAACTTCCTTGCGATCGCGATCAAATCGCTGTTCGAGTTCGTCAAAAGGAATATATTGTTGAGAACGGTTTCTTTACTTCTTTTCCGTGTGATCACTGTTCGTCGTCTGGTGAGGCTTGCGTGATGGATCGAACTCGCCGGTATTCAAAGTGTGCGTCTTGCACTCGACAAGGTCGTGTGTGTAAGAAGGATTTCCACAGTGGTCGTGAATGGGACTTGCTGCGTCGTGCTGAGGACAAACTGTCTTCTGATATCGAAAAGAATGAAAGTGAACTCGACTTGTTGGAACCCGAGTTAAGTGATTTGCAGTCTCGGCTTGCTGAGTTGCATCAGCAGTTGTTGAGCAAACAGAAATTATACCAAGAGGCCATGCTTCGACAACGTCGATTGCGGAAGCAGATGGCCTTTCTTAAACAAAAAGGTTTCAAAATGTCAGAACATGATGCTGAGTTGTTGCGGATCTTGGATGAGAAGAAGTCTTCTGAGCAGCCTGATCCTGCAGTTGACATTGATCAACTGGCTGCGACTTCTGAGAATCCCAATCTTACTCAGATGATTGCGGAGATCGATCAGATGCCTCCTTCCTTCTGGGAGAACTTCGACTTTTCCGTGAATAATACTGTTGAACAAGTTGGTGGCAGCCTGTCAGGTTCTCAATAGGCTCCCATGTGTTTTCTGAGGTATCATAATCTTTCCATTTCACAAGATAGTATGGTTTTCCGCTGACTCGCTTGTGGTTCAGAATCTGTTCCACTTCGTACTCGAGTTCAGTGTCGTCGTCGATTTCCACATTTTCAGCAATTTTTGCAATTTTTGGTGCTGGTTCCAATAATGAGATATGAAATACTGGATGAATTTTTGACATGCTTTTTGGTAGTCGTAGTCGATAATTAACTGGTCCCAGTTTTTCATCGATAACAAATGGTCCAATTTTCTGATGGTCCAATTTCTGACTTGGTCGTTTCGTTTTGATGTTTCTGCGAAGCAGGTAAACTTTCTCCCCCCTTTTTAGGT